AAGTGACTGACTACAGGATACTACATATATTTGGAACTATTTGCTATCTGAAATCAATTTGATTGTGCTTTCTTTTCTGTTATGCAATGCAGGTAGTGGAATTGGATTTTCTTTATCCCAGTGAAGGTATTCACCGACGATGGGAGAACGGATATAGAATAACTTCTACAGCAGCCACTGGTGATCAGGCTGCCTTCATATTGAGTATACCTAAAAGAAAGTTAATGGACGAGACACAAGAAACTCTTAGAACATCTGCTTTTCCAAGCAACCATGTGAAGGTATGATCATATATTTTTATCCTTGACTACGCTGTCAAAATTAGGGTGCTTATTTGAACTGAAAATTAGGGTTTTCATGTTAAAGTTGCGGTGATTTTGTCTCAACTTGGCATGTAGCCTTCCCCATCCAGTAGCAGGGACTCAAATCACCCATCTAACGCCGACAAAATAATCTGGGTCTTTTGCAGGAGAAATGGGCCAAGAACCTTTACATTGCTTCAATATGCTATGGCCGGACAGTGTCATGAGGCTTGCTAGGCTGCATCCCTAGTTGGGAAGAGCATATTTTGATGAGTAGATATTGGAAAGATCAGCAATTTTTGTTGCTGCTCTCTATTACTCTCTGTATGTGTAGGTAGACTGGTCAAGATGAATCACCTCACAATGGCCAGAATAGGAGCTCAAGAAAGAACTGAGAGGAAGGTGGAAAGCAAGCAGCCAAATAAGCAGACGAGGAGGATGTGATCTGGCTAGTGGCGGGTGCAGACGCTAATGGCGTCAAATGTTTTGCATCAGCATGTTTTGCTTCGCTCCTGACTGCTGTGCAAGAGTAGACAGCTTGTTAGCCTCCTTCGGAGGCAAGTCATCTGAGAACCATCGTGTATAGCGTATGATGTCATTGCATTTTCTTTAGTGGAAGCCAAGTTCCACCTTTCCGGAACTCTGAAAATGCTAAGTTATTATGCGAGTAAAACAAATCCACTGATAAAATTCGGTGTATCGATTCCATTATTCGATAATTCTCACCTGCATTAATTAATGCAATGTTGCATTACTTATATCATCCTGTTTTTTTTTTGTTTGTTTTTTTGGTCGCGTGACATATTAGAGCACGAATCCAGTGAAAAGAACAACAGTGTACTTAAGTGATGAACCTCAAGCAGTTACCAGGACAGGTACATAAAGCTAGAGCGACTAATGAGATACTGTTACACATCATGGTTAGCCGGCAAGTTTCTTTGTTCTTTTTGTTTGATCTCATTACTCAGCTGCTAACAAATTGTTTGGTTTCTTTTTGTTTGTTTGTTTGAGACTGGGTGTAATCTCATTACTCATCTGCTAACAAATCGTTTGCAACAGTTACATATACGTTTCCAGGAATGGAACTTATGATTTGCTCCTCTCCCTGAATACACAAATGACCCAGCGCAGCCAACTCATGAGCGGCTTGGTTAGAATCTTGGCCTTTAAACAGGCACTCAAAATTGATAAAACAATGAGACACTAGTGTCTTTATCTCAGCTATCAAAAGACCCACCACAATATCATCGAAGTCATCGGTTGTGATTACTTGAACCACCATTTCGCATTTGTCTCAACAATTAGGTGCCCAATACCCAAATCAATCGCCTTCTGTATTCCTTGGAGGCAGGCGATGAGTTCGTCCTGGAAAGCATTCAGTAGATGGGTAGATGGTATATCTTTCCCCGTCCGGACACGACCACATCTCCGTCGCAATCCTGGATCAAGAAACCCCAGCTGCCTGACGACGAACTAGGCAGGAAGGACGCATCACAGTTAAGTTTTAGGAAACCCGGTGGTGGTTTGCTCCATTTCTCCTTTCGCCGAGGAATCCTGCTGACTGTCGTCGCTCCCCCACCCAAAATTTCCGCGTTTTCAACAACATATGATTTGATGCACGGTGCTATGAAGTCTGGACTCCTCCGCCCCTCCTCTCTGATTAGATTCCGCTCATTCCAAGTGAACCAAAGCGCAATGATCATCAGCGTCCTTCGGTTCTCCTTTGTTTTCAGGATGAACTCAACGGCGTCACGGTCATGCGATGCAGCAGCCAGCGCCATCTGTTCCCTCTCCAGGTTCAGGGATCCCCATATATCTTTAACCATTTTGCATTTGAAGAATAAGTGCCCTCCATCTTCCTAGGTTTTCTCATAGACTGCCGCGATGTGCAAGATTGCCCCTTGGAGGATGACTATTATGTGACATGCGCCAGAGAAAATGCTTAACTTTACTTGGGCACTCCAGCTGCCAAATCTTCTTCCAAACGGAGTCAGGCGTATTGCCGCTTCCCCCTTGTGCTCCGAATCGACTTCTATTCCGTATAAAATCAGCACGAGAAACTTTATAAGCACTTTTCACACTAAAGCACCCGTGATTGTCAGGGTGCCATGCTAAGAAATTCTCCCTTCCCTCATGAATTGGTAGCGCCAAGATAATATCAACATCCTCTTCCCGGAAGAGCTCCTTAAACCCATCTCGCTAATAAATTTCGTATTATATCGGTGGTAAAAGAAAACTCAGTAATAAATTCCACAATTTTTGTCAGTGGTAAAAGAACACTCAGTTGTAAGAGAGTTAGGGCGCGTTGAGCGTAGATTTATGTGAACACAGCCTTACGTTTCTTCACCCTTCACTAAGACTGCCATGAGACCCAAATACAACACCTATATCTCGGTTTGGGTCCGGCACAGGGAAAAAAGTCACCACGCAAAAGTGAGCCTCTTCAACAGACCGCAAACGCAAAAGCCCCCAAATCCACCGGAGGTTGCCGATCGTCTGTCCAGGACCGCGCCAAGGACATCCTCGTCGTCGTCGTCTCCGGCCTCCACGCGCGCTCCTCCTCCAACACCGGCGGCGGCGCGCGGGTGAGCTCCGCCCCGGCGCGGAGGACCCCGGATCCCCGCTCCCCGATGGCCGCGCCCCACTCCCCGCCTCGCCGCGCGCTCCTCCTCCAACACCGACGCCGGGCGAGCTCCGCCTCGGCCACGGCGCGGGCGAGCTCCGCCTCTACGCGCGGGCCCCACGGCGCGGGCGAGCTCCGCTTCTACGCTGGCGAGCTCGACGATTTGCGTAGCGAGGAGAGAGGGGACGCTTTTTTGCCTGGCGTTCAGAGGAGCGGGCAAAATGCGTCGGGTGTATGGGTCTGCCGTTGGAGGAGGTTTTCGGGAAGGCAAACAACTGTACGGGACCCAAAAATGGGTCTGGGCCTCCTTATTGGAGATAGTCTAACGCCATAAGCAGGATTGAGTATGTATTAGATATATAAAAGTTGTTGAAAAATAAAACTATATTGAAAATGATTTTTATTTAAATAACTTTTTACATGATAATTTAAAGAGTAAGTTAAAGAAAGAAACTCTTAGAAATGCTCTTATATTTCATTTGAATGGAAGTAGCTTTATGCTAATTCATAGTACTCTATTTTGTTTTAAATTATAGGTCATTCTAACTTTAACTATGTTTACGAAAATTTGCGCCAACATTTACACGTCCAAATACTAGATAGAATCATAGGAGCAGTACATAGCACTTGAGGTGGCGTTTGGATACTCATGTGGTATGGGATAGGGATATGGCATGAGGTGGGTTAGGGAAAGAGATGATGATATTTCTTCCGTAACCCATATTTGGATTATTTGGTTTTGGATAGGGTTACTCCATGGGGCCCACGTAAATAAAAAAATCAAAACAAAAACTTCCGTATCCTCTGCACCTGCACTATCTCTGCTCCAACGCCGAGACGTGCGCCGCTCCTTTCTCCGCCTGATTCAACATCTGCTCTGCCCATGGTCCTCAATCACTGCTAGATGAAGGCCCACGAGCAAGCGCGGACGCCAGGGCTCCGCCCTCCAGTGGTGGCTCTGGCTCAGCCGCGACATGAGCAACCGTGCGGGTTGAGCAGCTGCTCCTGCATCGGAGCGAGGTGGATCTGGCGGCTGCCTGGGTGCGCGGCGAGGGGTGGTTCCGGCAACGTCCCAGGCGCGAGGCGAGCGGCAGCTGTGCAGGTCTGGGCGCTGTTCATCGCCGACGACCAGCGCCATAACCCACGCATAACCCACCCCCACCAGTGGGTATGCATTTCCCTATCCATTTCCTTCACGAGGCCTCGTTTAGATCGTAATTTTTTTCACTTCTCTTCATCACATTAAATCTTTAGACACATGCATAGAGTATTAAATGTTGATAAAAAAATAATTAATTACATAGTTTGATTGTAAAATTACGAGACGAATCTTTTAAGCCTAGTTAGGCCATGATTGGACAATAATTATCAAATAAAAACGAAAATGCTACATCACTCAATACTGATTCCTAACCCCAATCTAAACATGATCATATTTTTCTTACCCATGAACCAAACACTGGGGCCTTGTTTAGATACCCTCAAAATTCCAAACTATTAAAATTTTTACTTCTTTTTTTGCATGGAGTATTAAATGTAGATAAAAAAATAACTAACTGCCAGATGAATCTTTTGAAGTTAGTCCAATTGAACAATATTTACCAAATAAGGCGAATTTTTCTATTATCCCATTCAATCCAAACACTGGATATGATTTCCATCTAGCCTCGTATCCCTATCTCAGGCTCCATTTCCTACAATCCAAACGCCACCTGAAGGTTGAGCCCTATCCAAACACCATAATAGGTTCCGGTCAAAAAACAAAAAACACACACGCACCATAATAGGGAGAGCTATTTTATAGCAAGATGCTCAACTAACCGCGAGATCCAGAACGAACGGTGGGGCGACCTTCTTCCCGCGAAACAAAATGAAGCCATGAAGGCAACTAAACATCGAGCGCACCTAAATCTTCTCTCCCTCGTCGTCCCCGGCTCTCCTCAGATCTCACTTGTCCCGTGCCGCGCGGCCTCCCGCTTCCGATCCCCGCGGGAGCGCAGGCCAAAACCCTAACCCCTGGTCTCACCATCGCTTCCCCGCTGCGCCTGAGGAGGAGCAGGCCGGCGGAGGAGGAGATGGCCTTCATGGCGGCGCTGGAGGCCGATCTGCGCGCTCTCTCCGCTGAGGCACGCCGCCGCCACCCCGCTGTCAAAGACGCCGCCGAGCACGCTATACTCAAGGTACGCCTCTCCTTACCTAAGTAGTACGCACTATACAGCAGTGATCATGACACCGACACCCATTTCGCGTTCCTTCAGCGCCCTCGCCCGTTCCGGATCCATTTAGCGGCGGGGTAGTATCCGAACGTTTAGGCCGGTAATTGAAATTTGGAAGTGTTCATTTGGGTTTGGTAACTCTCTTCTAATCTTGTTCTGCGATAGTGCGATGTCACTATATCAGCGTGTTCGAACTAGAGATATGGAGTAGGACTGCTCCAATTTTAACGGCTGGAACTTCTGTGCATTGTGGTTAAGTTATATTAATGATTAGTGCTTAGACAAGTCTATCCTCTAGGTGGGGGTAGAATGATTAGATTGCTTTTGTTCAGATGCTTGGAACCAATTTTGTGAATTTGGTTGGAGTGGAAATCTCAAGTTCATACCAAATGCACATTGTTTCCATGGTTTGGAGAGAAGTGTAAGCACCATATGCCAAAGAAGCATAAATCATGTGGAGCTGAAGGAACTTCACTGGTTTCTTCAAGTTGAAGGGTTTATTAACTGCTCCTTCCATTCCAAATTGCAAGTCATTTTGGCTTTTCTAAAAAATCCAAAATTACTTACGATTTGCAATGGAGGGAGTAGTAGGTTAGTAGTCATTTGTTTGATGGCTCATGTGAAGTTCTAAGCTTAGCTTGAAAAATGAAAACTATATCAATGTTGGATTGCTGTTATCATTTCCGACGCCTCCTATGGCCTAGGTGATGCACCAGGGGTCTGCCTCATGCCTAATTGTGATTAAGCATACACATAATTACACCTTTTGGAACACTGATATCATCATTCTCTTTGCTGGAGAGTTTGAACCTGTAGAAAGTCATGCACTGTTTCCACTTTATTACATTTTTAGGCAGTTTTTATATCATTATGGCAGATGTAACCAATTATTAGCTTCATTCCATGACCATCTTGGATGAATCTCTTTCATCTATGTTATTTTGACATAGAATGGTTAAGCATTCCATCTATCCCATAAAAGTTAGCTTTCATTTTTTTTAATCTTTATAGTATCAAGGGCCTCTTCTCTCTCTTGTAATCCAAATAAATTCATGGCTAAATAATGTTTATTGATTACTCAAGGAGAATACTTTTTATCCATTTCCTGTAATTCTGCAAAAGACTTGTAATTTATGACCTTCTATACATTCTCAGTATTTGTATATATCATAAGTGTTACTTGTTCGTTGATAAGGCACCATTTTCAATTTCTTTTTTGGTCTTGAAGCTCCGATCTCTATCTGGCCCAAGTGAAATAGCTCAAAATGAAGATATACTGCGGATGTTTCTGATGGCATGCAGTGTTAAATCAGTGAAGTTGAGTGTCATAGGACTATCCTGTTTGCAAAAGCTTATATCACACGATGCTGTTGCATCATCTGCGCTGAAGGAGATACTAGCGACTTTGAAGGATGTGAGTTCTTTCCTTCTTAGTTACTTTTTGCCCTCATTCTGTCTATCATGAAAAATTCGTCGATAAATGCACAAATCAGACATGATATTCTGCGTTATCCTTTGACTGTCATGCCATTTAGGAACTTAGGCCCTGTCTGGATCAGCTCAACTTTCTATAAGCTGCAATAGCTGGGGAGAGCTAGCTTATAACTTCTTCTAAGCTGGTTGGTTGGGCATGGGCTATAAGCTAGGCTGTTTGGACCCGACAGAGCTTTTTTTTAGCAGATTTCTATAAGCTCTAGCTAATCCAAATTGGGCCTTAGCAAGCTCAGTGGTGGGAGGTGTGGCTGTACACCTCCACCACCCAGGTTTGTGTCCTCTTAAAAAAAAAATCCTAGACCAACCTAGAAGGAACAAGTGGCTTTATATTAATAAGAAAATATGCACCCATATTCGCCTTGATGAGGACTTGAACCTGGGTGCTAGATGGGGTGATGCATCATGAGTCCATTCCTCAAATTTAGTGGAATGTCTTCATTCCTCATACTAGTATTATTTATTAGCTTGTAAGGAATGAGGTGGTGATGGATCAACTCATTCCATTCCACAAACCAAACACCCCATTACTGTTTTTCTTAATTGAGTTTGAGATCATGTTTTACAGACACAATAATTCCAAACCCACATTTATCAAGCTAGAAGTTTATTATAGTTGTTTATTTTGTATTTGAACCTTTATGTTTATGTTTCTTTTGTTCAATTCTCATGACAAAATTTGATTTCCATAATCGTCTGTAGTTGTAGCTGCAACCTTGAACTCATTGTTTCTGAACTCTGTTGTTTGTTTGTTGCAGCACGCAGAGATGACTGATGAGATTGTTCAACTAAAGACTTTGCAAACGATGTTGATTCTTTTTCAATCGCATCTACATCCTGAAAGTGAGGTATCAACTATCAGTGGCTATAATTTTATTTCTTTTGTGTGGAAGGTTTCCTACATGTCATGTGTTTAGGTAACCTTTGAACATGTGAAAGCTTCTATCTATCAAAATAATAAACATAAGACCGCATTAATGAGCCAACATGCCATCACCCGATGGTAACACTGCTGATTTCTTTTTGTCTTTCTCGTGTGGATTATGGCCCTGTTTGACACAGTTTAAACTTCTCTATAAGCTGTTTTTTTTTCCTAGCTGCACAGAGAAAACACTTCTTACACAAGCTGCTGGATAAAAAAACTATCCTGTTTGGAGGTTTGACTTCTTTTTCAACTTTTTTGTGAGGATTCAGAGATGAACAAGGTTGCTGTCAGTGCTCTCATCAGCAGAGAGAAAAGCCATGGCCTGGCCTGGCCGATCTTCTGCAGCAACACATTGGGTGAGCATGGTGCACGTGTGGCTCCCAATCTCGTTGTGCAGGAGCGGCAAGGTTGTGTGCCATCGCTCAGCTTGGCAGGAATGCTGGAACGGTGAGGAGGGGAGGGGGCGCGTGTGCCGATCCGCTGCCGGCGAGCTCCGTGGCTGACTACGGAGCGGGGAGCCGGATGCGGAGGGGCGGAACGGCCATGGGTGACAGATGCAGAGGGCAGCACGGTGAAGGAGTGGCACGGCCGCAGGCACGATGGTAGAGGAGTGGAGGGAGTGTTGCCGGCAGAGAAGGCTAGCACCACTGCTGCTTGGTGTGGGAGAGAAGTAAGGAGCAGTGTGGAGTAGAAGGGAGGAGCGCAGGCGGAGGCAGTCGTGCGTGGGAGTTGCAGTTGAAAAGCTTTCCCCCTGCTGCTGCTGGAAAAAGTTGCGTGCTAGTTCATTTCCCACAAACACTTGATTTTAAGCTACTTGAAAAGTTTCCAATTTGGCACCTGTGGTAGCTGAAAAAGAAGCAGAAGCTGGAAATCCAATGTACCAAACAGGGCCAATGTTCACTGCTACCTTTTTCTCAAAAGAAAGTTATTGTTCTTTTCTTTTTTACTATCTAAATGCCCATGCGCTGCTATGGGCAGCAAAAAACATATCAGCCTACAAGTCGCAGTGCATGGGAGCCTGAGCATCAAATCGTTGTGCCGTGCCGTCCACATGCTGCCAATTGGGACCAAGGTTGCAAAAGTCCACTGCCCTGGTTCTGGCAGAGCCCCTCATCAGATATTGTCATACATGAGAGTTTTCCTGATGTTGTTGAGTGCTAACTCATGATCCACTTAACCGTATTATATAAGCACATAATTTGTCAAATATATACATTTGTTTCAAAATAAGTAATGTAACCTTTCGAACTCAAATGATTTTTTTATGCTGCACAAAATAAAAATTTCAGATATTATTTTTCGTACTCTTGATGTCTACAATAGTACCTTATGATCAGGCAAATGATATAACTATACATAAGCGAAACCATATACATCCTGAAAAATATCCGCACAAAAATGATAATTATAAAAACATCTCCTTGGAGTAGCAAAATTGTTTAGCGTGGAAAAAAAATCTGAAGAAACAGTACTCCGCCATGACAGAAAAACAAGAACAAGTAATGCACGAAAGAAAGTTTCCTGCTCAGCAGTTAGCACATTCGCGTGCCTCTTATGCAAGATTTTAAGTGCAGGAACACTTGTGACCATGAGGAATGCACAAACAACCAATGTTATTCCAGGTTCACAATAACCGGAGGAATGCATGTACATGTAAATGTAAATGGTAATATCACAAGATTGCAAGGCCCCTGTAAATACACGGGGCTGATGTAAAACTGAAAATTGAGCGCAGAAAGTGGACAGGGATAGATTTGGTTTTGTCCAGCTAGGGGTGCCCTAGGGACAGCGAGCTAGGCTTCCAAGCGTGCGTTGATGAGGGTAGGCTGTAGGCACCATCTTCTGTGATGGAGTACGGGAGTAGGCAAGATCCTCCAGGACGGTGTCAAGCCATCAGCTGGTGGGCGGTATAGAGAAGGCGGAGGAACCCATCCTTGTTAGATGAGCTTCACCTCTCCATCGATCTAGTAGCACTGTGGCACGAGCCATAGCACCCAGAGGTGATTGCGGAGTGGCCAGGATTGACTTCGGCATGGAATGCCGGAGGCCGTTGTGACCATGGACGTGCTGCACCATGCTCTTGGTGGCCTACTCGCTTCAGTGCCTACACCGGTGCCAGTACCGCATCATGGGTGCTGATCGTTGAATGTAGGGGCGGCCAACATTGATCTGGTGACGAGGGAAGGTGGTGGCCACCGGGCATGGTCTGGTGTCGAGGAAAAAGGAAGTCCGTGATCTTGGTGTGATCTGGTTGTGAGGGAAAAAAAGAGAAGGTGTGCAGTACGGCTTTGTGATCTAGCATGGGAGAAAAAACTGAGAGAATGATGGACCTTGCGGGTTGGAGTGCAGAGCGCTTTGGGGGCGGCGTTGTTGGAGTGGCGGAGTGGAAGGGGACTCACTATTTACTTTCTAAGTAGTAGAGATACAGACTTTTTTTTCTGGAACATGCAAGAGAACTGCATGTCATTTTGTTAAGAAGAGCCTATGAGCTTTTTAATGTCTTAGAGCAACTCCAGGAGCCTCTTTATATCCTTCCTAATTGATAGGAATAAAGATTTTGGTGAAAAAAATACCCTCCAACAGCTTCTTTAATTAAATCTTAATATAGCTATTCTCTATTCTGGATTTCTCACTAGCCAAAGATGGACAGCGGGGCTAGAGAGCGCACAAGATATAGAATAGCTGTTGGAGGGTGGAAAGATATAGAGTGATTTTTATTCAATTGGCTCTCCAATTGATGATTTAGAGTGAATTTAAGAGAAACTCTTGGAGATGCTTTTAAAACATAGTGTGTTCTTGCCCAATAGTATGTTTTAGTTAGCTCTAGAATGAAAATTATTAGAAAAGTTATTCATAACTTCTAAGTCTTCTGGGGGGTGGGGAGCATGTCTGTTTGCTACTTCTTGGATTATATTTTTGAATCTTGATTGTTTCTTTGGGTTGTTCTTTGGAGCATGAATAACAGTTGTGGTATCATGCCATGAATGTTCTCAGGATCATAATACTGTTACCATCAGTAGGCTTATCTTATCAGTAGATCCTTTATATTTCTTTCAGGAGAGCATGTCACAAGCTCTTGGAATATGCCTTTACCTACTTGAAAGCAGTCGATCTTCTGACAGTGTCCGCAAGTAAGCTCATTGCCATACAGTTGTTTCACTGATTCTAAGTTCCTTAGTAATATCCTATGAATCACATATTGTTCATGTAGTACGGCAGCAGCTACGTTTAGACAAGCAGTGGCTTTGGTCTTTGATAATGTTATTCGTGCTGAATCACTTCCCTCCGGCAAAGCTTCTTCAGCAAGACTAGGTTCCCGTGTTAACTCTGTTGTGGATAACGTCACTCATAGCTTCAGTCACTCACTGTAAGGCTATCTCTATTTCTTTAATGATTATGCTATTAAGGCATATCTTAGCTGCTATAGTTGACAACTTGACATTATGACAAAGCAGGTAAACTTTTAGCCTAAAATGCAGAGCCCCTATTTTTAAGTTTATTGTTCCCAATGCACATTTTTTGACTTACTAAAAGTTATAGCATATGTTCTCTGCTAGATTCTTCTTAGCTGCACCATGCTTGAATTTTGCTTTGCTTATGTAGTTCTGTCATGGGCTTGTAGTTGAGATGGATAATAATATGACAAGCTCTGCATACTTGCATTCTTATGCCCGCTTCATTCTAGTCAGATTTGGAAAGACATTTTAAAATTTATACCCAGATACATGATAGGTACTGCAGAAATGTTAATGTTGTTTTTCTTTGTGTTGCATTTGCATTTTGCCATTTTTGGTCTGTAGATTCAGATTGCTTTACATGGCAGATCGCTAGCAAGCAACTCTGGAGATCCTACCATGAGGGAGAATTTGAGTGATGTTGGAAAGCTCGGGCTCCGTCTTCTCGAAGACCTGACAGCTCTTGCTGCAGGTGGATCTGTATGTGCGAACAATTTCTGATAGAACCTTCTCTATTTTTCTGTAAATAAGGACATATGAAGTTTTTTTTTCCTTCCACATAATGTTGTGGGTAACTCCTGACTTATTTCCTCTAGGCTACGTGGCTCCGTGTCTATTCGCTGCATAGAACATTTGCCCTTGACATACTTGAGTAAGCTCTCTAAGTTCCACAATGAAAATTTTATCCTGCTTTCTCTTGCAAGAATGTATCTGTCACTTGTTATCATATAATGACATGATGCTACCACTGGGCTGAGTTAAAAATTACTGATCCTAACGGTGCATTTTAACTGAATATGTTGTGAAGAAGATGTATATAGAACAATTCCACGTAAATCTTAAGCAGAAGCAGAACCTGCATAAGAACAATCTAAACCTCATCTGGACATATTTTGTTCCAGGTTTGTGCTATCCACATATGTTGCTATATTCCAGGCATTGTTATCTTACCAGCAGGTTTGTGTTTCTGTACAACTCTTTATCATCATTTTTTAAATTGTTGATTGATAACTTTTGATCATCTTGATAATCTGCCAGGTTTTGCGTCATCGAATTTGCTCACTTCTCATGACTTCACTCCGCACTAATGTTGAGGTAGGTTCATTGAATCAGGGGTTTGAATTTATTAATATGCTCAATTTGCAGTTACAAATTTTGATTGCATCACCACATCACAAGCTTCATATACAGAAGCATTAGCTAAATTTTGGTATACTCAGTATACATTCACGTTTGCAACATTACCATGTTTGGCAAGTCACAAAGTTCATTCGTTTCTTGGTACTTGCTTTTGAAATTGTAGGTGCCAGGTATTGTCTTCTCTGATTTATGCATGGAAGTTATTGAATTGGGGCTGTAGTCTTTTAGTCATAGATTCTTAGTAGCTCATGCCCTTAAACTAACAGGGCCAACACTTGATCATTTTAGCCAAATTAGGGGCTGAGAGGTTGGCATTAAAATAAACAGGTCCAAGAAGTTAACCCTTCTTGTGTTGTTGGCTCTTTGCTACCTTAGCTTACTAGCTTTTTGCCCCCAAACTGGAAGGAGAGCTTCCTGTCATTATATCAAAGAGGAGAAAAACAGTACAAAACAAAAACACATGCTCACACAAACAACAATACAATGCACACACAGAAATTAAAGTTAGAAAACACTGCTTACAACCACCTTACTAGTTTCGTGTGACCTGTTTATAGTCTGGCATTGCAAAGGCTTTCACAAGCACCTATTAGTTTCTAGTTTTTTTCATCGAACGAGCAGGAGAGCTGCACATCTTTGTATTCTAGAGAGAAGAATAAAGGGCCCAGCCTTGATAAAAGAATAGCTACCCAGGCGCCCCCGCATCCCGCGTCAAGCCTCGCCGCCTGCACCACAGCCCGCGCCCGCAGCCTGCGCTGCGCACGCCAGCGACCCGCGCAGCTCCGTGCGCCCATGGTCGGGCAATAGAGCTCCCCGTTGGAGCTTGCCACGCCGTCCCATGGCTGGGCCCTGACTCGCGCTAGAAAGGCCGCAGGGGAGCCCCTGCGCCCACGCGAAGGAGAAGGCACGGCGCCGACGTGGGTCGATCTGGTTTTCCGTCCGCAGCTTCTGTCGCCCGTCCGTCTGACGAATCACCTCTGCGGCCTCCATCTCCCATCCCCGGCTTCTTCATTGTGGACTGGTCTGGCGGTCGCCTCTTGCTGCTGATCTGCTCTGCCATTGCTCGGTACTGATTTGCTGCTGCTCGGAGCTGCTGCTGCACGACATGGTCTGCTCCGTCTCTTCACCGGGTGCTCTTCTCGTGCTGGAACAGAGTCCTGGGCTTGCTAAGCTAGTCAAGGACTGAGATTTCTCCATGGGCAAGCGTTTTCAAGCTGAAGTGCTTCACATGTTTTCGTCCTCGGTGCACCATCCCTCTTCTACTCCAGATGGCTCTTTCCACTTGCTGGTGGTGTTTCGACGCTTTCTCTTTCGCCTGACTGAAGAGTCGGTTGCCATGGCCCTTCACTGTTGTTTGGGTGGAACCCATAGACAACCTCCTCATCTCAACTGTGAGACAAGGAAGGATTGCTGTACATCATGGGTCAAAAAAGTCTGAACAGAAAAGAAAAAACTCCCTAACCTAGGCCCAACTCTTGAAGTTGGGTCCAGCCAAGCACCAGAGTCTCATCTCCTCCTTGAAGTAGTACTGAGCATCAGTGGGAGAAGGAGAGGTGCCATCAAAGACACAATTGTTCCTTTGAATCCACAGGGTCCAAGCACCCAAATTCACATCACTATGAAATGCCTTTCTTTTGGCCTTATCAATCCTTTGACTTGCCTTTCTTGGTTTCTCCACCAGTCTGCAAAGCTTAATTCGTCACATCTTGGCCTTATCAATCCTTTGGCTTGGCTAACAAATTATGCCAGAATTGACGAGCAGACACACAAGTGGAGAGGATATGTTGGGCACTTCCCACCTCTTGATCACATAGCACACATTGCTCTGGGTGTGGTAGATCTCTTTTTGGTACTCCCCCCGTCCCAAAAAGAATGCAATTATGTGATTTGTGTCAGTCAAGCAAGCTCAAGTTTGACCAAATTTATAGTGAATAGTATTAACATTTATGTCTCCAAATAGGTTTATTATGAAAGTATATTTCGTAATTAATCTAAAGGGGGCGTACCCAGTGCAGAAAGCTCCCGCTCTCTGCGGGGTCTGGGGAAGGGTGTCAATGGCAAGCCTTACCCTCGCCTGTGCAATGTGAGAAGACCGCGACTCGAACCCGGGACCTTCCGGTCACAGGCGGTAAGACTCTACCGCTTGCAGTAGGCCCGCCCTTCATATTTCGTAATTAATCTAATGGTACTTATTTTGTTTTATAAATGTTAGTACTTTTTGTATAACTTTGATAAAAATTCAAATCATTTGGCTTCTCGAAAAGCAAGAATTGCATTCTTTATGGGACGGAGGGAGCAGTTGATTGACTGTCCAACATTTGTTCCAAAATCCTAATAGCAAGCCATGAAAATATTTTACATTTTGATGGTGCCCAGGATTTCCACAAGTGTTTCCACGGTTCAAAAGTGAGCGAACCATAAAAGAAAGCACTATATGTGGATTTAGATGTGAAGGACCCACTTGTCTCGTGCTTCCACACATGTTGACCAACCTCCTGTTGTAAATCGATATTTCCAGGACATTCCAAACTTTGCAGATACTGCAACAGACCTTCCACATAGAAAGGCCCCTGAATGTCTCTAACGCAAGGTTGGTTTTCCAAAGCTTCTGCTACTGTACGATTACGAATCATTATGGATCTTTTGGACGCACAAGCAATACTGCTGGAGCAAGATCAAGTAAAGAACTTCATGCAACCAGGGATCTGTCCAAAGATGGTTTGTGCCACTCCCAACATATGTGGTCACAGAAATTGCAAACATTGCTTGAACTTGTGGCTGAATTGGGATGTCCAAACCTGACCAGGGACTTCCTTCCTCAGTTTTATTCAACCATAGCCATCTCATCTGTAATGCCCAGCCCATAACCTGCAAATTAGTAATACCTAGGCCACCCAGATCAATTGGTCTTGTCACTTTTTCCCATGCGGCAAGCAACAGCCACCATTAATCCTAATGCTCTTCTGATTTTGTCAATTGTTTGAAGCACCCACTTAGGCACATTCATAAAAAAAAGGGCGTACCCAGTGCAGAGAGCTCCCGCTCTGTGCGGGGTCTGGGGAAGGGTGTCAGTGGCAAGCCTTACCCTCGCATGTGCAATGCGAGGAGACTGCGACTCGAACCCGGGACCTTCCGGTCACAGGCGGTAAGACTCTACCGCTTGCACCAGGCCCGCTCTTCACTTAGGCATATTCATGGCAATCAACAAATAAACTGGGATCACAGATAACACAAAACGGATTGTTTTGGGTGTGACATTAGTTGAAAGCATTGTTTAGGTGTATTTAATGAAAAATTGTACTGAAACCACTGAAGTTTTTCTAATAGATTCCACTAGACAACAATGGAACATTGGCCATTAGCACCTTCTTGTATGATCTGATTTCTGTTTTTCTCTTCAGCTCGAGGGTGAAGCAGGGGAGCCTTCTTACCGTCGTTTAGTCCTCCGTCTGGTTTCTCATGTCATCAGGCTATATAGCTCTTCACTTGTTACTGAAAGTGAGGTACTGTTTTGCCCGTTCTCATATGGATCCTGACTACATTTCTCATAATTTAATATAGAATCCAACCAGAAGCTTTAGCTGACTATAATGGTGATTAATGATTGTTCTGTAACTTAAGGCAATTAATCATGTTACTAGCTGTTTAGGGTCAATATGCTTGGGAATGCATCATACACAATCCTAAAGTAATGAAACGAGAACAACCAATTTTGTCCATATTAGAGCAATCCTTGTTACTGCTTATCTATGTAGTACTAGTAGTATAGTCTTTTAGCTAGTTGCTAACGTGTATAAGTTGGTTGTTTTTGTTTAGGCACTAAGAATAGGCAGCTCCCTCTGAAGGCTGCAGTAGAAGTCAATTGTATTTTCTAGTTTACAGCATCAGGAGTTTCTTGGTGTGTAAGATAAGTTGTGCAAGCTGTCAGCAAGCAGTCTATTTGATGTTTGCATGTCCTGATAGCTGCTAGAACTATATGGTCAGCTCAGCAAACTGACTTCATATGTGTACTATTAATATGTGTGCCTATATGCAATGAAAGCTAAGTAATTACGTTTCAGAACTGAACCTGTGTTTAGCCTTAGCTACTCCACTCACCTCTGCTCATTCTCTAGCTGCTGCATTAAAAACAGTGCATTAGGTAATTAGGTTGTATCAACACCATGTAGATTAAGCACCATAAGTCCGCAAATTTTTCAAAAGGTGAATCAATCAATGTAGACATGACTTTGTATCATGTCAGGAATCATTGTCAGTTCCTATTCCTAAATTGATTTACCAGTAGATCTTAGACTTTGCATTCTGCAATTTGGAGGGAGTGGTTCTTGCTAGCTATTTTCCCTCATATGATTGACCATGCGTTCACATTTTACTTGTAGGTAGAAATTGCTAGCTAGTCATATAACACTTTGAAGCAACTAATTTGGGATGCGAAATAATTAGAGTTCATTATTATACGAGTGCTCATGGTACATCTAATTCATCCAGTTATGTTAGCCTACCTAAGCTCTAAGCTGCTTCTATTATCAGGTTTTCCTTAATATGCTTGTAAAAGTTACCCGTCAGGACTTACCATTATGGCATCAGATACTTGTCCTTGAAATTTTAAGGGTAAGTTTCTTTGGCTAAAATAGTGGTTCATGCTTATTGATTAATGGTTACATGCCTGCCCTCATTGTTATTTGTTCATCAGGGTTTTTGTGTAGAAGTCTGCACTCTGCGCTTGCTGTTTCAGACATTTGACTTGTACGTATTATTTCCACCGTGCTGTTCTTGAATTCTCTTCTTCTGGTTGATGAATTTCTATACAGCTTCCCTCCAGGGGTTTGCTAATCATGTCAGATTGCCAGTCCTGTAGCATGGAAATTTAGGATTTACTTTTTTTTCCTTAGCTATCCATTTGTAAGAGAACAGAGCCATAAAGATACTTTCTTTTCTTTTATCTAGAATCTATAGATATGTAAGAGTACATGAAATTATGAAAAGTTTTAGCCTTTCTGTTGGGTGTGTTGTGTGCATCTTTTTCCTTAATGCACAATCCTGTGTAAAACAACATAGAGAAGTACAAGGTGGCAAAGAAGACTGCAAAACGAGCGGTGAGTGAGGCAAAGGGGCGGGCCTATGAGGACCTTTACCGACGTTTGAGTACGAAGGAAGGAGATAAGGACATTTATAGGATGGCTAGGGCTCGCGATAGGAAGACAAGGGACTTCAACCAAGTCAAGTGCATAAAGGATGAGAGGGAGCAGCTCTTGGTGAAGGAGGATGAGATCAGACATAGATGGCAAGAGTATTTTGATAAATTATTCAATGGTGAGAACGAGAACACCACCATTCAGCTGGACGACTCGTTTGATGACACTAACAGGCGTTTTGTGTGGAGGATTCAAGAATCGGAGGTCAGAGAAGCCTTGAAAAGGATGAAAGGGGGCAAAGCGATGGGCCCTAATGGTATCCCAATCAAGGTGTAGAGATGTCTCGGGGATATAGCTATAGTATGGCTAACCAAGATGTTCAACAATATCTTTCGATCGAACAAGATGCCTGAGGAGTGGAGAAGAAGCATATTGGTACCAACCTACAAGAACAAGGGATATATCCAAAGTTGTACTAATTATCGGGGAATTAAGTTGATGAACCACACTATGAAGTTATGGGAAGAGAGTCATCGAGCAGCGCCTGCGAGGAACGAGGCATATATCAACAAACCAATTTGGTTTCATGCCCGGAAGGTCAACCACAGAAGCAATCTTCTTAATAAGACAGGTTATGGAGCGATTTAGAGAGCAGAAGAAGGACCTCAACTTGGTTTTCATTGACTTGGAGAAGGCTTATGACAAGATACCAAGAAATTCTTTAGACAAACATAAAGTCCCATCAAAGTACGTGACTCTCATCAAGGACATGTACAACAATGTTGTGACTAGTGTTCGAACAAACGATGGTAACACAGATTACTTTTCGATTAAAATTGGACTTCATAAGGGTCAGCCTTAAGCCCGTATCTCTTTGCCTTGGTAATGGATGAGGTTCCCAGGAACATACAAGGGGATATCCCTTGGTGGATGTTGTTCGCTGATAATGTAGTGTTAGTGGACGAAAGCTAGGCGGGAGTAAATAGGAAACTAGAGTTATGGCGGCAGACTCTTGAGTCTAAAGGTTTTAGATTGAGCAGAACTAAAACCGAATACATGAGATACGACATTGGCGGAGTTGTACATGAGAAGGGAGATGTGAGTTTGGAAGGTCAAATAGTGCCTAAGAAGGTTACCTTTCGGTATCTGGGATCGATGCTACAGAGGGATGGAGATGTTGATGTGGACGTTAGCCATAAAATCAAAGCAGGGTGGATCAAGTGGCGACAAGCTTTTGGCATTCTCTGTGACAAGAGGGTACCACAAAAGCTAAAAGGCAAGTTCTATAGAACGGCGATTAGACCGGCTATGTTGTATGGAGCAGAATGTTGGCCTACAAAGATTCGACATGTTCAACAACTGAGTGTTTCAGAAATGCGTATGTTGTGATGGATTTGCGGTCACACAAGAATGGACCGAGTTCGGAACGATGATATACGTGATCACCTAGAGGTAGCACCAATTGAAGAAAAGCTTGTCCAACATCGGTTGAGGTGGTTTGGCCATGTCCAAAGGAGACCTCCAGAGGCACCAGTGCAGTGTAGAGTCCTAAGCCAAGCTAATAATTTGAGGAGAGGTAGAGGAAGACCGAAATTGACATGGGGGGAGGCAATAAAAAGAAATTTGAAAGCTTGGGATATAACTAGAGATCTATGTTTGAATAGAAGTACTTGGAAAGCAGCTATTGAAGTGCCTCAACCGTGACTTGGGGCTCTTGGTGGGTTTCAACTCTAGCCTACCTCAACTTGCTTGGGACTGAAAGACTATGTTGTTGTTGTTGTTGTTGTTGCACAATCCTGTGTATTTGAGAAAAGACAAGCTTATACTCCCTCCATTCCAAATTGTAGGACATTTTAGTTTTGTCATAAATCAAACTTCTAAAATTTTAGGCTCGCTAAGAGGGGCCTCTCTCATCTAGAAAAATGCCCTCTATGCGATCAAGAAGATGAGACAATACAACATCTTTTAACATCATGTGTGGTGGCAGGACAAGTATGGTTCAAATTATTCACTCCATTGAACCTAGCAGATTCAGTCCCCCGACAAAGCGAACTGAGTTTTGCTGACTGGTGGCGCAAGACAATGCGCAGAGTTAGCAAGGAGCACAGGAAAGGAGTGAACTCTTTAATTATTCTAGGGGCCTGGATTATTTGGAAACATAGGAATGCATGTGTTTTTGAGGGGGGTCCTCCTTTGATTAGCATGATTTGGAGTGAGCTGAAGAACGAGCACAGCCTCTAGTGTATGGCTGGGGCGAAGAAGCTTCAAGGGCTAGGACTGGCGCTTGCAGACTAGGTCCTTTTAGCTAAGGTCGAGTCGTGTTAGTTTGCTATGTGTTTAAACCATTACTCTGTGTAATCGCCTCACTTATATCTGGTCCCCGTATGAGTGAGGATCCTGTTGGGGACCCAACCTATTTTTCATCTCTATAATACAATGAAACGTAGCTCTCCTGCATTAAAAAAAAACAAGTTTATAGAAAAATGCACCAACATCTCTAACATCAAATCAGTTTCATTAAATTCTCCATGAAATATGTTTGATAGTGCATTTATTTGGTATTCTAGATGTTAATATATTTTTCCATAAACTTGGTCAAAGTAAGCGAAATTTGACTTAGGAAAAAACTAAAACAATGCACATTTTGGAATAAGAGTAATAACCAGTAGAGAACCTGGCAAGTCACTATAAATATTTACTTTTCGGTCTTAATGGAAAGGTGACACTTGCCTTAAGAAAGATATGTATCTGTTAACAATCAGTATGAGAAATATAGTGTAGATATCTCTTTAAGGTTCTTTGTTTTCTTCTTCTAACATGCTTTGAAAATTTTTATATTTGGTATCAGTAGTTGTATGCTTTTTATTGATTTGAAGACTTATCTGACTATCTGTTGACATTTCTTGTGAAAATGTTCCTTGTTATGTTTTATCTTTTGCATTGTTTCTTGGCCAGGAATTTCTTTTTGCAGCTTATTAACTATCCATGTCAGTATGTCCACTGCATTGGTGCTTTATGTCTGTGGGCATAACATTAGGTTTTTAGGAGAATATGCTGATATCCTTTTCTTGTTTTAATAATACAGGAATCCTGTGAATACCAATGTCGTGGAGAACATAGTTAGAGCACTTGCTTTGGTGGTAGCTTCAATTCAGGTGGTATTGGTTCCCTTGCTTCAAAAGAACATCATCCTTATTAATTACATGTTTGTTTGAACTCATTTTATTTGAGAATTTTCCATTGCTATTCCTTTAACTAGAAATGTTTCTCTTATAGGCTTCAGATTCAAGCGAAGAAACTCTAGCAGCTGTTGGTGGAATGTTCAGTAGTAAAGCTAAAGGTATTCTCTACAGTTAACAAAGCCTAGTGATTAAATTATTACTTGCTCTGAGCTTATTGTTTTGCTTACTCAGATTTGTAATAACTACTGATATGGCAAATACCATTCAGGGATTGAGTGGAGTATGGATAATGATGCATCAAATGCTGCTGTTTTGGTTGCTAGTGAAGCACATACTATCACTCTGGCCCTTGAAGGTCTCTTAGGTGTAGTTTTCACTATTGCCACTTTGACTGATGAAGCTCTAGATGTTGGTGAGGTAAGAACTAAGAGGAGACGATTCTTATGAATAACATAATAATGAAGCTCTAGATGTTGCTGAGGCCTCTTTGTACAGTGTTGCTCTTTTTTTTTATTTTAAAAAAAACCACATTGGGGGCCTCCCCTGCTGTACATTTCGTTCAAACAATGAATATATGAATTTAAGTTTAACTAATCTTTTCTGTATCTTTTTAGCTTGAATCACCGAAATGTGAATCAAATAGTATGGAATGTAGTGGACAGTTGGCCCTTCTTTGTATGGCTATGGTCAATTCAACATGGTTAACCATCCTTGACTCTCTGTCACTTATTTTGATGAGGTCAGGCCAATCTTTAAACGTACATGTACTTTCCTATAAATTATATGTTATTTTTCCTATTCTTATGGTTATGGGTAATCTAATTAACAGGTCACAGGGGGAAGCTATAATATTAGAGATATTGAAAGGATACCAAGCATTCTCTCAGGTGATAATAGTGGTCTGTTGATGTATCAAGAACTTTGGAAAATTGCCCTACTCTAGTCCACTTAGAGAGTAACAGTATTCCACCCATGATGTGGCTTAAGGGCTACTGGTCTTCTGTTGCTTTTCTGTTTTATCCATGTCCTAACCTTTATAGTGAATTAACTGCTTTGACAATCAGAATGTGGGATGCATACTATTTCAGGCTTGTGGAGTTCTCCGTGCTATAGAGCCCTTAAACTCTTTCCTAGCATCACTTTGCAAGTTTGCAATCAACAATCCAAACGACGGAGAGAAGAAAAGGTATGCTACTGTTTTCCGGTTTACTAGGATTCTTACTGGGTATATAACCAAATATCTTGTTGGTAGAATCATATATCATATGCCTGCAGCCCCCTCCTCTTCTAAGTACCTTTTTTTTCCTTTTTCTTTTGCGAAGTATATAACATCTGATGTGACAAGTAATATTGTAATATGGTTTCTTAGAAATACTGTGTAAGCATATCTTAGTTTTTTAATAGCAAAAACAGAAGGGGTTCCTGCAATATTCATCCGTCTTGTAAATTCCAGCCTTATAATTTGTCTATGGTTAATTTTACGTGTCTCTAGCGGTGTAACCTCCTAAACGATTAGTCCAATTAAATTTCTATCTTGGTGTGTGATAGCAATAAAATATGCAGCTTTATCTGTCCAAAAAAAGGTTTTCTACCTTTATCCGTCAGAGGTATTCAGGGAAAGGGTTATCAAAGAGGGCTCTTGGAAGGAAGAAGACGACATAAACAACATGTGGGAGAAGATGGCAACCAACATTCGGAAGGTGGCCTCAGAGGTGTGTGGAGTAACCAAAGGAAGTGGAGACGAGGCTAAAGATACTTGGTGGTGGAACGAGGAAGTCCAAAGGGCTATTAAGGAGAAGAAAGAATGATATAGACGCTTGTACCATGATAGGAGTGTGGACAACATAGAGAAGTACAAGGTGGCAAAAAAGACTGCAAAACGAGCTGTAAGTGTGGTAAAGGGTAGAGCGTACGAGGATCTTTACCAACATTTGAGTACGAAGGAAGGAGAGAAGGATATTTATAGGATGGCTAGGGTTCGTTAGAGAAAGACACGGAACTTCAACCAAGTTAAGTGCATTAAGGATGAAAGAGAGCATCTCTTGGTGAAGGAGGATGGGATCCGACATTGATGGCAAGAGTATTTTGACAAATTGTTCAATGATGAGAATATGGACACAACCTTTCAGTTGGATGACTCTTTTGATGACACCAATAGGCGTTTTGTGCGGAGAATCCAAGAATCTGAGGTCAGAGAGGCGTTGAAAAGGATGAAAGGAGGTAAGGCGATGGGACCGGATGGTATCCCAATCGAGGTGTGGAGATGCTTCGGGGACATAGCTATAGTATGGCTAACCAAGCTGTTCAACCATATTTTTCGATCGAACAAGATGCCTGATGAGTGGAGGAGAAGTATATTGGTACCGATCTACAAGAATAAAGGGGATATTCAAAGTTGTACTAATTACCGGGGAATTAAGTTGATGAGCCATACTATGAAGTTATGAAGCTATGGGAGAGAGTTATCGAACATCGCTTGAGAGCAATAACGCGGGTCTCTATGAACCAATTTGGTTTCATGCCTGGAAGGTCAACCATTGAAGCCATTTTCTTAATAAGACAAGTTATGCAGCGGTATAGGGAGAAGGACATACACATGTTTTTTATTGACATGGAGAAGGCTTATGATAAAATACCAAGGAATGTTATGTGGTGGGCTTTGGACAAACATAAAGTCCCAACGAAGTACGTCGGGCTCATTAAGGACATGTACAACAATGTTGTGACTTGAGTTTGAACAAGTGATGGAGACACGGATGACTTTCCGATTAGGATAGGACTACATCAAGGATCAGCTTTGAGCCCTTATTTGTTTGCTTTAATAATGGATGAGGTTACAAGGGACATACAAGGGGACATCCCTTGGTGTATGCTTTTCGCGGACGATGTAGTGCTAGTTGATGAAAGCTGGACAGGAGTGAATCAGAAACTGGAGTTATGGCGGGAGACTTTGGAGTCCAAAGGTTTTAGACTCAGCAGAACTAAAACTGAGTATATGAGATGTGACTTGGCACTACTACGGGGGTGGAGGAAGATGTTAGTTTGGAAGGTCAAGTAGTGCCTAGGAAGGATACCTTTCGATATTTAGGATCAATGCTACTGAGAGGGACGGGATAATGATGAAGATGTTAGCCATAGAATCAAGCGTGGTGGATGAAGTGGCGGCAAGCGCCCGGTGTCCTATGTGACAAAAGGGTACCATGAAGCTAAAAGACAAGTTTTATAGGACGGTGATTAGACTCTGCTATGTTGTATGGTGTAGAATGTTGGCCTACGAAAAGACGACATGTTCAACAGCTAAGTGTCGCGGAAATGCGTATGTTGCGTTGGATTTGCGGTCATACAAGAAGGGATCGAGTTCGGAACGATGATAGACGTGGTAGATTAGGGGTAGCGCCAATTGAAGAAAAGCTTGTCCAACACCGGTTGAGATGGTTTGGACATGTGCAACGGAGACCCCCAGAGGCACCGGTGCGTAGTGGAATCCTAAGCCAGGATAGTAACGTGAAGAGAGGCAGAGGAAGACCGAAGTTGACTTGGGTAGAGGCAATAAAAGGTGACTTGAAAGGATGGAATATACCCAAAGACTTAGCCTTAGATAGGAGTGTTTGGAAGACAGCTATTCACGTGCCTGAACCTTGATTGCTTCTAATGGGGGACTTAAAGGCTTTGTTGTTGTTGTTGTTGTTGCTATGAATTCGAAAAATGAAATATATTATTTAGATATTGTATAAACCTGGTTTGTCAGGGCATGTATGATATTTTGTTTTCTAGTATTTGTGTTTTGGTAGGATCTTATGTTTTTTTTTTCTCAAACGACGCATGAGAGCCGTTTGTCATTTCTTTAAGAGAAAAAAGTACAAAGGAAGAGGGAAAAAGTAGCCCCGTCCAAACACACACCCTGCTAGAAACAGAAAAAATGATGTGCCACCGCAATACAAACGGGCATGACCAAAAGAAAGACCAGCCAGTCTCCCAACAACTAGAAGGCTGGACCTATGGAGGATTTTATCATTGGAATTCCCTTTTTCTTTTGATAGCTACAACCTACAAGAGTATTTGCAGTCTTGTATGTCATTAGGCATCACTAATGACCTCATAGAGGATAATTTTTTTGTTTTGTTTTATTGTTTACTTCTGTGGTAGTAGTATGTTGAAATTGCTATGTCGAAATGATAGGACAAATGACTAATAGTGGTGAACTAATAACTAAAATACAAGATATTAAGTACAAATTCATGGTTGCTGACTGGATTACAACTTTACTAATGTTCAATTTACACTTGCCTTAGTCCAAAGTCTGGAGAGTGGTCATTTATATTTCATGTGATGACTTCATTTACACTGAATGCTTCAGCTGTGCCTAAAGTTTTGTGCTGCATCTGCTATCATGAGCTTTGTGCAATTATTTCACCTCACTTAGTTTCCTTTCATATGTGTCAGCATCTTGCAATCTCCTGGATCAAAGAGGTCAGAAACTTCAATGGATCAGCGTGATAGTATTATTCTCACACCAAAAAATGTTCAGGCAAGTAGGAAAGAAGCGCAGTGTTGCTTACAACTATATTATGGTCCCTTGCTTTTTCACATGTATTTACACTTGTTTCATTCTAAATTCAGGCACTAAGGACACTTTTTAATGTTGCACATCGATTACACAATGCCCTTGGTCCTTCCTGGGTTCTGGTATGCAGAGAGTTAGATAAGTGTAACATTTTTAAGCTAATTAAGTTTCATGAATTATACTTCTAAATCTCTTATACATGTAATTGTAGGTATTGGAGACTCTTTCAGCACTTGATAGAGCTATTCATTCTCCACATGCTTCAACTCAGGTTACAGTACTTTGTCCCCAAGTTATTCATTATTATGGTTGAGGAATTCATGTTATTCAGAAGTTGATGTACTCTTCTTTTTTGCTAACATCTTATTACCAAAAATAAGGCATTGTTTTGTGTGTCTAATTTAAGTTAGTGCTGTCATTTTGCTGACACTGCCAGTTTCTCTCACAGGAAGTATCAGCTTCTGTTTCAAGACTTTCAAGAGATACATCGGGACAGTACAGTGATTTCCATATTCTCTCTTCTTTAAATTCTCAGGTCGGGAGGGGGATTCTTTTTCTTCTTTTTTTTTCATGTTTTTTTTGTTGGTATCATCTTAACTATATTGCTTATATGATAAAGTGTATTTTGTTTCATTGTTGGAGAAATTTGTTTGAAAGTTGCTGCTTTCATGTTTTAACTAAATTGTAATGTTAAACTGCATTTTGTTTCTTTGTTGGAGGAAGTTGTTTGAAAGTTCAGCCTTGATGAACATAGCTGCGGTGAAGTCACTTCTGTCTGCATTGCACCAATTGTCAAGTCAGCACATATCTGGAAGCTCTCAATTGTCTGTCCAGCAGATCGGAAGCATTTCATTTTCAGTGGAGCGCATGACAACGATTCTCGTCAATAATCTGCATCGTAGGTGCTTTCTTTACTTGGACCGTTCTTGCAGATAAAATAACCTATATGAATCAGTTATGGTCTTTTATGATCAAGCATAAGCTTGATCAGGTATAAATACTACAAATGTGTTTTTTTCAACAGTGATAGTGTGAGCTTGATCACATATATATTTGTTCTTAAGATGTATTTGCTAAACTGAACAGTTAGTTTGCTGGATCCTGCTTTTCGAATTTCAAATGCCGAACATAATTGGTAGTTTGTATCATCTATATTTTGGGCTTGTGCGACACCTCACATTGGCATAGCAGAAGCATTGAGGTCATCAAACATCATATCAACCTATAGCATCAGTCGCTTACTGATGAGCATGACGATGATATATTAGAATAGCAAGTTACTACTGTCTACTGCATACCATAGTTCATGTATATGAATGAGCATAAGATTTGCTATTTGAGGAAGATCAGTTCATTGTTGAACTTGATCATTAGTCTTTAATGTGTTGTGTAACTAATGTGGAGCCTATTTTAGTGATAAAGCTTATTGGCACCACAATTTATTAGTTCTGCTATTGATTATTTATGTTATTTATTCTGTTCAGGAGTTGAACCGATATGGGATCAAATTGCTGCTCATCATCTTGAGGTAGCAGTATCTTTTCATTCACTCGTAGTTTTCTCTCCGTTTCCGTTTATATAACGTCATGATGATCTTGGTGATGACATTGCAGCTTGCGAATTGCTCTAACCCACAATTACATAGTATGGCACTGGATTCATTGGATCAATCGATTTGTTCGGTAGTGGGTTCTGAAAAATTTCAGGGCATCAGCTCAGCACCTCATCAGTTTCAAGAAAGCCATGTAAGGGATCAATAATAATACTCTGCTGTTTCCTCTGCTTGTGCCATTGTCTGACCTTTCTATTCCTGTGCTTGCTAGTTGGTCAAAGAAAGTGAAACTGTATCATTTGAGTATGCAGTTTTATCTCCATTGGTGATCCTCTATTCCTCCAACAAGAATGTTGATATACAAATGGGTGCACTAAAGATTCTTTTGCATGTTCTCGAGGTACTTATTTCTTGTATATGCTTTTCATTGGGTGTATCAGACAATGTCCTCTTACCTGTATTTTTTCAGAGACATGGAGAAAAGTTGTCGTATTGCTGGCCCAGCATTCTTCATATGTTAAGGTGTCACTGTTATTCATTCATGAATTATATGTTTTTATTTGACATTTTTGCTGTTTCTTACATCCTTATTTTCTTCCAGGGCGGTTACCGATGCATCAGAAAAAGACCTCATCTCCTTAGGCTTTCAGGTAAAATTACTAAATTGTTCCTTGCTATGTTTAGCATGATATGATTTTTCTGAGGGAGTTTTTCCCCTGGCATAGCTGCTTGGGCCTGTTATGTTTTTGCCTATCTATGGAAGTCGAATAGGATTATGGATTACATTTCTCAACTCTTGAATGGAGGACCAAATAAGCACTTTTTAATTACTCCCTCCGACCACAAAAGAATGCAATTCTCGCCTTTTGATAAGTCAAACAGTTTGAACTTTGACTAAATTTATATAAAAAAATACTAACATTCATGATATAAAATAAGTACCATTAGATTAGTTATAGAATATATTTTCATAATAAATTTATTTGGAGACATAAATGCTAATACTATTTACTATAAACTTGGTCAAACTTGAGTTAGTTTGACTGGCACGGATCCCATAATTGCATTCTTTTTGGACAGATGGAGTACTGATAAAGTAATATTGACCTGTAATAAATATGCAATTAAGGTACAGTCGGAAACATTTATGAACTATAACACTGATTTTCAATATACTGGTCATTCTAGTTAAACAAAAGGATAATAAATATTGAGTGTTCATTTGTTTTTGCTGTTGTTTTAGGCAAGTGCTGTACATCTTAATGCTTTTAATTAGTATATAAGTTATACAGTGCCCTTTAAATATGTTTAAACACAATCTTTACTTTGCAGAGCATACGTGTAATAATGAATGAAGGACTGGCAACAATCCCTGTACAATGCCTTCATGAGTAAGTCTTTCAAAAATCCACTGTTTTAGTATTGTCCACTCTTACTATTCTTCTCATTTTGCTAATAATAGTAACAATGAATATACTGCCTATGAGAGTACCTTTTCCCCAGGTTTTTCCCTGGTTATTTCAAAGCAAAACAGAACCATGGAAAAATAGGAAGAAAGCATTTACTAGTACCTCCTTGGATTATATGAACTGGAAGATTTAACATGGCTATCTGTGATTTTGTATGGTAGTAGCCAAATTCTAGAGTTACATGCTATTGCATAGGTAGTAACAATTTAATTTGGAATTTCACTTAAACACTGTCTTCGGCAGAAGGACAATATCCATTGTACTTGAAAGTTGAGACCATTGAGTATGCTCCAGGAATCACTGTTGCTCTTGAGTTTTATGGTGATGTGCAGCTTCTCATCCTTGCCATGACAGATGTTGCTTCCATGTAAAAGCACTCAAAGCTAGTAAATAACAATTTTTTTTTGCTTATGTAGCTATGCTTTTGCTTTTATGGATGGCATGCGTTTATGTAAGACTGGTTAATATGAACATAAATTGCAATAAAAAAAGGAAAACTAAATCGAAGTACTTTAAGTCTCAGCTTAATTACAATCACATTGAAAGGCACCCCATAAAATATTGATCTTATATAAACGAATGTCACCAACATAAATCCTGATGAATGATTATTCAGAAATTTTCGCATGGTACATAGCTAGACCTTAGAACTTGTTTGTTTGGTCTGCAGCTTTTCATAAGCTGGCTTCTGTAGCTACTTGTAAATGCCAGTTTTTGAGAAGCTGAAACAAAGAGGGCCTTGGAATAGTTTGCTTCTGTTACCTGAATGGCTGACTGGACACTACAAGTACTTAAGGTTGTCGGATGTACAAACTACAGATACAATAACCCTCAACTGGTATGAATGGAATTTGATGCACACAAAGTAGATGATATCATGATGTTTAGTATTTGTAACTTGGTAAACTGCAAATAGACATCTTGTCCATACCATAGTGGTCTGTACACAAGATTAGGGCCTGGCTCTCAAAAATCATGGGAATTTGCCTTAATAGAAAGAAGGATCATTTGCCATTATTTTGGTGCAGCTATCTATAGACCTTTTGTGCTTTCTGTGTCACAAACTCTGTTTGGAATAGATGTTTATTAACAAAAACAACGGTATAAGAAGAGAATTCCAGCTTGGGAGTTTTATTAACAAAAACAGCTTTGAAAGGAAAAGCTATGTTCAGTTCACAATAGTTTTATCCCCATCTTGGGAGTTGTATGTTTACTTTAGTTTTACGATTTGTTGCAATTTCTGAAACTTTCATTTGTCAACAACTGCAGATGCATTTTGGTAACTGGAGCATATGGTACTCAGAAAACTGATATAAACATAAGTTTAACATCAGTTGGACTTTTGTGGACTGCTACTGATTTTATTGTGAAGGGATTAATCAGCAAGCCTATTGAGCAAGCTAGTCACATGAATGATGGTATGTGATCACCACATATAAATATACTTCCTCCTCCCTGATTTTCTATGTCACTAATACATAGCTCTCCTTTTGCTTTGCAGATGTTCAGTCAGGTGGAACGATTAAAGAGGCAAACAGCAAGCAAGTTCCTCCAAAACAAATAGTTGACTACAGTATGCTTTTCTTTTCAGTTTTCTCTGTCCTCCAGAAATTGGGTTCAGATGATCGTCCTGAGGTGCATCTTCTCAACATACAATCTGTTCTCTGCATGAACACCCATGAATATTGTTGAAGAGTTTTTCGTTAGCTCATTGAATCATTAGTGATCTCTGTAGGGCACTGCTGTCGTGCTGTAATATTAGTAATTCGTGGCAACCTTGGCATCTTCCTTATAGATTTTTTTTTTGGCATCCTCTGTATGCACATCACACATATAATGCACACCTTTTACTCTTACCATGAAAAGTCCTAATTTGACTTTTTCCTTGAAGAAAAAATCTCTGTGCTATTAAGCACGGTGTTTGATGCTGAATCTCCAAACCTAGCTACAGCTCTATAGCTCGCTAATGAGGAGCTGCTTTTGGGGGGTTTGGCAGGGGCACGAGGTATCAATTACCTCCTTGCCCTGGGGCTGGATGTGAATTAAGTTTAGATCGAGGTTGCCCTCTCTGTGGTTAAGGGCGAGGAGTTTGTTTAGTAAGAACCCACTGGTGTGAGTGGGTGGGTCTTGTATGGGTTCTTATCCCATTTTTTCTTCTAATATAAATGATACACAGCTCCCTTGCGTGTTCGAGGAAAAAAAAAGCTGGCACAAATTTTCTTAATACCAATAGCTTTGTTGTACAAACTGATGCTAAGTTTTCTTTTTTCATTTCAAGGTTCGAAACTCGGCCGTTAGGACTCTCTTTCAGACTCTCAGCACTCATGGACAAAAGCTTTCTAAAAGTATGTGGGAGGATTGTCTTTGGTTATATGTTTTCCCTATGTTAGAGCATGTTTCCCACTTGGTAAGTAATGTAGCAATTAGGAAGGGCATTTTATCTTCCCCATGAATCTCCTCTATTGATATTTAAGTTAGGCTAAACCTTCTTTTTCAGGCATCTACCTCATCTCGAGATGAGTGGCAAGGGAAGGAACTAGGAACTCGGGCAGGCAAAGCTGTTCATATGCTTATCCATCACAGGTTTATAATTTTTTTCTGAGAACCATAAACAATAGGCATTACCTATTAATTAAATATGAGACTACTGCTTATCAGAAAAGAAAGGATCTACGTGCTGTTTGGTGATAGGTTTTTGTAACGCAAACGCAAAGGAACTACAGCTTTCCGCGTTACGGCAACATATATGATTTCATTTCCATTTGTGTTACAATTCTAGGAACCAAACAGCACACTAGTGCTGTGATCTTTGTGACCTCATCACGGTGCGGGGGGGTATTATTTATGAGACTACTGCTTATCAGAAAAGAAAGGATCTACGTGCTGTTTGGTGATAGGTTTTTGTAACGCAAACGCAAAGGAACTACAGCTTTCCACGTTACGGCAACATATATGATTTCATTTGCATTTGTGTTACAATTCTAGGAACCAAACAGCACGCTAGTGCTGTGATCTTTGTGACCTCATCCATGGTGCTTGGTGAAGTGTGTAGGGTATTATTGTTATTATTATTATTATTATTAGGCTTCACCAGAAATTCAATAGTTTATTATCTTTAACTTGATTAGTAACACACCTAGATACTAGATTTTAGCTTCTAGTGTTCCCTGTAGGCTTAATAGCTCTAGCATTAAATAATCTTGAACTCCTGATTTTTTTCTATGCTTGCATTCCTTTTCAAATCTTAAGTCAGCAAATTAGCCCTCTGCGAGGAAGCGAGATCAGAAGTCCAGGAGTGGCAAAGTGTTTATTCTTCTGGCTAATTGCCTATTTGGTGACTTGCCTCTTCTTTCTTCTAATCTAATTTACTTCTTTGTTTTCCCAGTCGAAATACAGCACAAAAGCAATGGGATGAAACTATCGTTCTTGTACTTGGTGGTATTGCACGGCTTTTGCGTTCTTTTTTCTCTTACCTCCAGCAACTGAAATTTTTTTTCTTCTGGTAAACCTTTGTTGTATTGCCTATCGTACTTACGTTGGTCATTGGTTATCAAATTCCAAGTAACTTCTCATCGTATTGAAATGTGTTCAGGTTGGGTGCTTTTACTCGATTTTATAAAAAATAGCATCTTAAACGGTAGCAAGGAGGTTGCTCTTGCTGCCATAAATTGCTTGCAGACGTTTGTCGGCGCAAACTGTCCAAAGGTATCCTCAAAAAAGGATCTCTTTAGAATTTTCAATATATATAGTTATCTTGTATTGTATGTATGATAGGAGCTATTTGGTCTGGTCTGCCCTTCAGACCTGCTTGCTTTATTCACCATAAAAATAGCTTCTTATCTTATTATTGTTAGGGATAATTCCTTCCATGTCATGTCAATGTCACTGCACTTTCCTTTGTGTTTTCATAAATGTATGTGAACTAGTATCAATTTGTACAGAAAATGGTCCTAAAATTAATTAGCCTTGACCCAAACAGTGCACTAGCGGCAAACAAGATAAGCAGGTCTAGAAATTCAAATCACCTTTTGGTTTGTGATTTGTAGTTCAACATAGTGCTCACATGGTTTGAGCTCTTTAGATGTCTTGATTGAGCAATAACTTCAGAAATAAAACAGATCCATGTTTTTCATAACTGTATTCAAGTATGGCATTCTAGCAAACAGTGTCAGATTCTGTGTTTTGTATATGTTGACAGTAGGCCCTGCCGCTTGTTAACAAGTGCAGTCTTTTTGGTTTTTATTATACCTGAACAACTCTTGATCTGTATTTTACTGGAAAAGATTATTATTAGTTCTGTTGAATGGCATGCATTGGACTGCCGCATATTTCAGATATTATTTAGATAAGGAAAGCCTCATAAATAAATGTTTTCCTGAATATATTTTTCCAGGGCAATCTGGAATCCTCGTATGTCAAATCTGTTCTCGATATTTATGAACTTGTTCTTCAAACTTCACCTAATTTTAAGAATGATTCCACTGATAAAGTGAAGCAAGAGGTTCTCCGTGGTCTTGGTAATTATAGCTTCCTTTTGTTTTACTCCAAGCATCAGATATTGTAATTTGCTATTAATCCTGTTTCACTCCTGCAGGTGATCTTTATGTCCAAGCACAATCTCTGTTTAATGGTGACATGTATCTAAGGCTTATGGCAATTATGCATCTGATGATCAAGACTACCTTGAATCCTACTGATTATGATAGTGAACTGGTATACCTGTGCATGCATATTTTTAGTTGATATATATATTTGCTATAATACTGTGTGTAACCATATAAGTTTCTTGGAAGAAGTTTATAATTCTATTGTTTTCGTTTTATGTGGAAAATCTGAGCATGAAAATACGGAAGTGTATACTTTAGTCTTCAATGTTTCTCGTAGGAAACCTTAAAACATGTTTCTTTTTTATTCTTCTATCCTGATAACTTTCATAATTCCAGTTTGGCATCGATCCAGTGTTGAATTTCTTTTCTCATTTGGTCCTTTATGCTTTAGGGTAGTATTCCTGCTGTACAACGAGGCATATTGGAAATCATTCCTATGCTACGCCCAACAGCTGTATTGTCTTCCATGTGGACACCTCTCCTCCTTGAGCTGTTATGCTATCTTAATGGGCACGAAGGCCCCCTCCAGAAAAATAGTAAACAAATACATGATCGGAATTCTCAAGCGCTGGTAGACAGTGCAAAGCAGTCTCTTGGTAAGACCTGTTATGATATCTTATATACAGTGTTGCATAATCTGAGAAAAAATATATTTCTTGTTGAGTGATGTCTAATTTGCTATTGTTACAGTTGAAAGAAGCAATCTCAATGGCGGGGGTACAAAACTGGATATGGTGGGATCTGGTTGGGGTATTCTATTTGTAGAAAAACTTGTGCCAATCATTGTCAACCTTTTTTTGGAGGCTCCATCAAATGAAAGGTTTAGTGCCTCTCCTGAAGTCATCCAAGGTCTTGGAAGGTAATTGCTTTTTATGATTTTATATCTGACAACATAATGCAAAAGTGAGGATATATCCACTCGTCAAGAAGGCTTTACGCTTATTGCAGAACAGAAGAACTGCTTTACTTATTTTCAATTTTTCATGTCAAAAAGGTTATTAATTGAAACAATCTAGATTCTATATAATGAGTGCACGAAAGTTTTATTGTGCTCTTCCTGCATGTTGACTCTGAAAGTTTCCTAAATAGGTGCATGAATACAAGGAGAGACAACCCAAGGGGTACCCTTTGGAGAATATCTGCTGAATGCTTCAATCGTGTTGTGACAGATGAGGTGAGGCAGGACAATGCTGATTGCAAAAGTGATGTGAATTCATATAAACTTTCTAGAGCTCGTTTCTGGAAGGAGGTCGCAGATGTGTATGAAACCTTTCTTGTTGGTTCTTGTGGACGCGTGTTGTCATCAGATGTTTCTTCAGCCGACTATATTACAGCTGATGAGACCCTTGAGATGAGTGTCCTCACTGTCTTTGGAGATGATATTCTGAAATTGCAAAAGGATGCTCCAGTTGAGGTTAGTTAGTCAATAAAATGTATTTGTTTTCCTCTTGCTGTTGCAACACAATACCTGACCTTGTAAATGCTCAATTGTGACATCTCACGATCGCATTCTTTCAGGTTTTGCAAAGGCTTGTGAACTGTCTTGATCACTGTGCCTCACGAACAGGATCGCTATCTGTTCAAACTGTTGGCCTTTTACCTGTACACTGTAGCAGATTTTCGCTGAGCTGTTTGCAGATGATGTTTTCTTTATGCAGGTACAAGCATTGTGCAATACTATGTAAATACAGTGTGCAGATCAGCATGTCTCATATTTGAAAGCACAGTACAATTATTGCATATAACATGTAGAACGATTTGGGGAATGGGGATCTCTCAGAAAAGATACTGGGTGGATGGCAGAGTCTTACATGCATCTAACTTTTCCGTTTCTCGTTTTTTTGGGCACTGCTTCAGTGCTTCTATTAGATATGTGCAATGTTAATTGATGGTGAAACTGTGTAAATTGAGAACTCAATGTTAGCTATTTTCTGTGGTTGCAGTTGTATAGCAAAGGCAACCTTGTGTGCTGCAGCATCAGAAACCAGCAAAGTTTCAATTTCCATTCTTATGAAGCGATGTGAGATTATACTGGGTCAATTTTTAGCTGATGAAAATGATCTAGGTACCTTCGCAGTTTATTTCTATTCTTGGAGTTTGTTTTTTCATAACAACCCTAATGTTCATATATTTCTTAAAAATGCTATAATCTACAATACAGATATGGTAAACCCCATTTATCTTGTTGCACTATTGGCGTTTGCAGGAGAACATCCTTTGCCTAGTGTGAGGGTTGAAGAAACGATATGTGTTCTTCAAGAGCTTGCTAGACTAATTATAGACATCGATGCAGCTAATGCTCTCAACATACCTCCATATCTGAAACAAGCTTTGGGGGAAAACAAATCCCATGGACGGGCTCATTTATTGTCCTTGCTTCCCACTGTTTCTGAGCTTGTTGTCTCAAGGTAAGAAAAAGGTTTCTAGTAAAGCGTATAATTTTAGGCATAGCTGATAGCTTGTGGACCATGGCTATGCATGTGTTCTTTTTATGCTTTGTAGGCCGTTTATCATAACCAGCAACTTGTGTTTCCCCATGCTGGATTAGAAAACCCTAAGCATGTGACATGATGGAGGCCAAAACTTAGATTTATTTGGCCCGGGATCCAGATTCTCCTAGAAACGTTTCAGATCCAGATTCTCTCTAGAAACGTTTCTCTGTTGAAATAGGAATCACTTGATAACAATCGGTGAAACGTTTGGCTATGGATCCAGATTCTCGCTGAAATGAACTAGAATCACCGCGAAACACCTATTTGGGTGATTCTCATTCCTAGTACAAAAACGAGAAACGTTTCTCTGGTGAATCACTTCGCCAGGTACCCGTTTGGCACATATTCTAGTGATTCTTACGAGAAACGGAACCGATTCTCACAACCAAACGGGGCCCATGTTGCACCCTTTTCTGTTTACACGGCACTATCAATATTTTAAGGTTGAAGCTTTTTTCCCTTCTCTCATACATGTACAATAATGTGACAAACTCTAAAAGGAGTACCATAGATATTGAATATTGGGGACTCAGCCATAAATCTCTTAAATAATGTTTTAGCTACCGTACGTCATCTGTAGATAATTAGCTCCGGTTGCAAATGTCTCATAGTTAACCGGTGCATGTTTGTTGAGATACCTGCCAAATTTTGAAAAGGAACAGCCCAATTTACTGTGTAAACTTAGGATTGAACCATTTGCCACCGCTAACTTGTCAATTCTATTCTTCAAAACCATGGTTCCTCCTTTAATGTTCTGTTTGTTAATAAAAAAAAGTTTTATTTAGGATATCTGAGTAAAACATGGTCTTTCTATGTTTCCCATCTGAGACGATTTTGTGTGATCCTGCGCACTTTGGGACTCTCCTGTGCCTTTTGTAAGCTAGATTTGATGTTGTGGTCAGCCATTAATTGAACTGGGAAGAACATGACACCGCTGGAGTAGATAACTCCTTTTTTTTGGGTGGGGGTAGGGGGTACAATAGCTTAAGAGTTGGCTTTGTGTTTTTATGACGCCAGTTTTGCTTGTGGTAGTGTAACTTAATTAATTGTTATTGCCCCTGCTGATCCATCAGAGAAGCTAGGGTGCGGGAGCTTGTACAAGTGCTGCTCAGACTCATTTCCTCGGAGCTAGGACTACATCGGCTGACATAACAACTAATGATGAGACTCTGTTTTCTATTCTTTTGCTGGAGGAGAATCATATAGCTTTGTCAGTATTTTCCCCTTCTCTTACAAAATTGATTTTGTATATCCATGATGACAGGCAAATTAGGTGCTTGTCACATGTATCTAGGAACAGAGTTGTGTATGTAACATTTTGTTGGGAAAATATGGTGGCTGTTTCTGGAGTCACTAGGTGTACAGCCCATTCTTAACGTTTTCTTACGCAAGGAATCTATTCTGCCACTCATGTAAGTTGTGCCACTCCCCTGTACGGCTGTATCTTTTGACATGAACAATGGTTGGAGACTTTGTCATATAGTACAGAAACACTTGCCCACGTGGATCAGGCCTTGCAACTAAAATCAGGCCAAGGACTAAACTTGTTCCTGGGCAAATTTTGATTCATTACACCAGGTTACATGACGAATGATGTGTAAAATTTTTTATTAGTGAAACTTATTCAATCGACATTGTTACGACATTTGTGTGGATCCTAGTTTTTCTGTTCTTTTAAGAGTTGCATTTCTCTGTGTCAAGATGGTATTTTTGCTACTCGATGTATGTACCACAGGTTGACTCATAAGCAACTACTTGTTGTTCACTTGGATTGGTTGGAAATCTAAGGTCATTTTGCTGAGGTATTGGTCCCACTCAGCCAGGCCTAGCCCCTGGCCTCCTGCTTATCTCGAATGTAATGTTGTGGCTTATATAAAGCCATACATTCAAAGGCCAAATTGGTGAACACCGCCCACACGATAATGTTGAGCCAAGGAAGAGAGAAATTGTGTAAATAAATTAATTAGAGCCCCTTTCGTAGGGCTTCGAAAAGAGCTTTGGCTCTGGCTTGCATCGATACCTAATATTATTTCTGCCAATATTTTTTCTCCACAAATCACCCACTGCGTCAGGTGTCACCGCGAGTCCGTTTTGGTGTTCTTCCACGTCTGCGTCAGTTTTTTCGTTTCCGTGGTACTTCATCTCTGCCCGTTCCATGACTTAATTTTCCCGTCGAATGTTCCATCCGAGTCCTTTTGGTTTCTGTGTCGCTCGTGGTATTCTCCCACGTCCGTGTCAATTTTTTCATTTCCATGGTAATTCATGTGCTATCCATTTTGTGACTTGATTTTCCCGTTGAGGCTACCCCAAACCAAAGGGGTTAGAGGGGATTAAGGGGGAGTTAATCCCCTACAAGTCAAAATCTTCCTCAATCTTCTTTAATCCTCTCCAAACCCCTTGGTTCGATGTAGAAACGAACAAGGTCTGCGGCTCTATACGGGGCCTACGTTTCTTCTGTCGTGGTTATGTTTTTTTCCCTTTTTGTTCTTTTCTAGCTCATAAAATTAAAAATAAATAATAAATACAGTATTATAGGATCTTGATAAACAAATATTTTCATCATTGAATTATTAATGTAGTTTTAATTAAGAGTAATTTTTTTATTATTAAAACCTGGATCAACTGATGATCTAACTAATCGGATCGTGAATTGAAATCTTAAAAAGTTTGCCATTCAATCTAATCAGAATAAATGTATCTCTAAGCTGTATGAATATATGCATGCAATCTTTGATGAGGGCTACTGTGTGGAGAGGTCTCCGTCGTGATCATCAATGGGCAGACCAACCCTTAATATGACAATAACTAATTCCTTATCAACTTTATATATTAGAATTATATATGTATATATATATATATTTGCGATCCTTAAAAGAAGTCACAGAACTTGATATTAGACTGTAACAACACATAGATAGTATGATATATTTATGAGTAAATATTTATGTGCCTCACAACAGAATAAAAAAAATCTATGAAGGTTGTATTTTAATTCAATACAAACTTAATAGGACATTGTAATATTATTGCCAGCATCAACTTATATTATTGACGTTATGGTCATCATAATATAAATTATAGGTTTTAAATTTTATAGAAAGAATAAAAACTAAATAGATACTCCCTTAGTCCTAAAATAGATGATACTTTAGCTATGGATCAGGACAAATATTTGCCTGGATTCATAGCTAAAGTATCATCTAATTTGGGACGTAGGGAGTAACATTCGAATCCTTATTTCCGTTAACGTTGATAGCTTTTTTTCTTCTGGTTCTCGTTTTCCATTAACATTTGGTAGGTTTTGCTCATGTTGCAACGCACGAGTATATTTGCTAGTTTAAAATAAAAAAAAAATGCAGAGGATTTGACGAAAATCAAGTTCATACAAAATAGTATACTCAGTACTCTTTCGTACACAATAAATTGAATAGCCAAGGGCAACACGGCTAATAGGCATATTCCATTCATATTTTTTTTTAAAAAAACTAGAGAACATATCACTATATCAGTGCTCTACAATGGGACATGCTATGACTTGTTGCCTAGTCACGTCGACAACTTGGATTCAAAGATTTATTCAATAATCATGTCATATGTTTTAATTCATCCTGAAATACAATCGGATTCATATGCTACTCTAATTTGTATGGGCGCCGAGGCTTGGAGATTTATCCATATTTCACTCAATGACTCAATAAAAGAATGACTTATAAAAAAATGACCTATTTGATGTTGTAAATCTTTATAACTATCCAAGATGTTTTAAATGACTTATAATTTGAAACGGAGGAAGTTTGATTTTTTTATAGAACATAGATCACATCAGTTTTTTCTAGCTTACGACAAAATTAAATAAACTCTAAGTATATTAATTGCAATTTATATGTGTTAAAGTGAATTAGATTAAAAATTAAACCCAACGTACCATACACTGCATCCAAGCACGATCTCGTGAACACATTTGCCATTTCTTAGTCACTCTTCATTCATCATTCACATCACACCTCCCGCGTTCCACCTCTTTCTTTCTCACCTCCACGTCACCCTAACCTCCTCCTCCCCATCCCCTTCTCACGCGACGCAACTCAGGCGCCTCCCCATCGGAACCCTAATCCTCTCTTTCCCTACTCGCGGAAGCCACCACCATCGGCAGGGAAAGCGGAAGGGAAGCACCTCGGCCCCGGCAAGATGGTGCTCGCGCAGCTGGGCGGGAGCATCTCCCGCGCCCTGGCGCAGATGAGCAACGCCACGGTGATCGATGAGAAGGTGCTCAACGACTGCCTCAACGAGATCTCGCGCGCGCTCCTACAGGCCGATGTCCAGTTCAAGATGGTCCGCGACATGCAGGCCAACATCAAGCGCATCGTCAACCTCGAGGCGCTTGCCGCAGGCACCAACAAGCGCCGCATCATGCAGCAGGTAAGGGGCGTATTGGTTCGTCGCCTCATCTGCGCAATCCGCGCCCAATCTGTCAAGAGCTTCGAGGGATTTCTGTGTAATTTGGGGTTAATCTGTTCATCCCGTTGATTGCGTTAACTTATCTCTGTTGTTATTGCTGTAGGCTGTCTTCACGGAACTCTGCAACATGCTAGATCCCGGGAAGCCTTCTTTCACTCCCAAAAAGGGCAAGCCAAGCGTAGTCATGTTCGTTGGTCTGCAAGGTCAGTCTTCCTGTCGCTACGTTATGTCTCATGCTATGGTAGCTACACATTTGCTCGAGTGACGTTTGGCAGATGGTTTTCTTTGTTCAAGAAGATCCTGAATTATTAAAACTTGATTTATTACGATCTAGCCTAATTTGATATGTTTTTGACTTTGTCCATTCTTTTTTCTTATACAATAAACAGGCCACTCCCCTGCAACGATATTAATTTAAATGAAACCGTTCAAATCATTTTACAGCTCATAATGATGTCCACAGTGAGATTTATTACCTCCAGTAATCCAACTCATAAACTTCAATCACTTAAGCTCTTACATATATTAGTAATTTTTTTCTTGAACACACAAGAGACCTGTGTATAATTATATTATAAGAAAAAAAGGAGGAAGGGATCTTACAAACACATAAATCACACACACCCAGATCAGGAATTTAAAACATTCGTGCCTTTGTACAAAGAGAACTCCACCACGACCATGACCAGATATCAACCTACAAGTTGGCACAAGCCACAAGGGCTGTGAGGTAAGAAATTCCTTGAAGCCAGCCAGCATCTGTAGATGAAGATCCTCGCTAGCAAAGTAGCAAGTAACAAAGCTCTTGCGATGCTTGGAGATGCCCCATGGGACACACACTGATTATGGTGACACCAACAAGTCCAGTCACCGAGAATGACGAGAGAGGGTAAATTACATTGTTAATTCCCCAGTTTTGCTCATGCTCATGTGGGGTTTATACTGTATCAAGGTCGTAAATGTCTGATGGCTACTCCAGACAGGGCCAATAGCCTTAGAAAATTGCGCACTTTGTTATCTAATTATTGATGCTGTTGTCCTTTATTAGGTCATGTTTTTTGTCCAACAGGTTTTTTCTCAAGTTGTAATTCTTTTTTAATGTTTTTGCTTTCTACTTCCTCCGTCCCAAATTATGTCATTCCAAGAATCTTGGAGAGTCTAGATTCTTCATTAGTTATATTTTCATATCATACCTATTTGATGTCATAAATCTTTGTGTTTCTCTCTATAATTTTGGTCAAACTTGAGATGCTTTGACTCTCTAAGATTCTTGGAATGACTTATAATTTAGAACGGAGGGAGTAGAATATAGCATAAGTAGTTGATTACTTATAAGAAGTTATGTGCGTATCTCTTGTTAATATTAAGCCATTTGCTTGAGTACATACATCTTAAAGTCCAAGGTTTAGTTGAACATATGGGCTGTTTGAAATTTGAAAAACAGAAAGATGGATTCTGTGAATCTATGATGTGTGAGACATAATGATAAAGCATCACATATCTTCATTTTGGCTATAAGCTTCATTGCACAGCAAGTGGTGCTGGGAGCGTAACTGATGTAGTAGACCTATCTAATATCTATGGCATACACAGATTGGCCAGATCCTAAATTTAACTATGATGGGACAATTCCTGTTTTTGTCCCCAGCATGTTTGTCATTCTTCTCACAAGATAACATCATTTTTGTGCAGGTTCTGGTAAAACTACCACTTGCACAAAATATGCTTATTATCATCAGAGGAAAGGATTCAAACCAGCGCTGGTTTGTGCTGATACATTTAGGGCGGGTGCTTTTGATCAGTTAAAGCAAAATGCAACGAAGGCCAAGATTCCCTTTTACGGAAGGTGCTATAACTCTCAGCGTGAGTTTGTTATCCATGTTATTATCTCTGTGTTCTAACAGTCACTTTGCAGCTACATGGAATCTGATCCAGTAAAAATTGCTGTTGAGGGTGTGGAGAGGTTCAAGAAAGAAAACTGTGATCTCATCATTGTGGATACAAGTGGAAGGCACAAACAAGAAGCAGCACTCTTTGAAGAAATGCGGCAAGTTTCGGAAGCAACAGTATGTGCACTTGAAATTCGCAAATAAATTCTGGCTTTCAGCAATATTTTGAAGAAATATAATGAAATTTTACCGTCATTCTTGTATTTTTCCTGCAGAAACCAGACTTGGTGATTTTTGTGATGGACAGCAGTATTGGTCAGGCTGCATTTGATCAAGCACAGGCATTTAAACAAAGTGTTTCTGTTGGTGCTGTGATTATTACAAAAATGGATGGTCACGCAAAAGGCGGTGGTGCCCTTAGCGCGTTAGTATTCTCTGCCTTTTTTTTGCAATATGGCCTTGGTTTAATTTCCTTTTTTGTAACTTATAAAGATTGTTTCCAAAGAACCTGAAGTAGATGCTCTCCATTGGAATATTTCTTGGTTTCGCTATAGTCCGGATACATTCTCCACAAGATAATTCCACATTATTTTGTTCTAGGAAAGGATGTAATGAGTACTCGATTATGAAGGTCTGTTCATTTAATTTTTAGCAAGTATTGGAGCTAGATGGAATTATGGGGTGTTACTCTTAAAACAGCTACTGCATTCACATTTCAGGATAAATGTACTTTGTCCTGGACTTCTGTGCGCACAGCACTATCTTTGTTTTGTTGATGTCTTTAATTCCTGCTGTCTGTGTAGCAAATTTTGTCCCTTCATATGCATGTGTGTTTAAGATACCTTTCACTGAACAACTACTTGTACATCTCATAACGCTTCAGAACCTATGAGCAACTTAACATATCTTCTATCCTTGTTTCTTTCCAGTGTCGCAGCAACAAAAAGTCCTGTTATATTCATTGGAACTGGAGAGCACATTGATGAGTTTGAAGTTTTTGATGTGAAGCCATTTGTTAGTCGCCTGTTAGGTCAGTGGAAATATAAGGCATGCTTTTACATGTTTATATGTGTGTGACATTCCATTAACCTTGCTTTGTTTGATTCACAGGTATGGGAGATTGGTCAGGCTTTATGGACAAGATTCATGAAGTGGTACCTACAGATCAACAGCCTGAGCTTCTGCAGAAACTGTCTGAAGGAAGCTTTACTCTGAGGCTTATGTATGAGCAGTTCCAGAACATTCTGAAAATGGGTCCTATTGGCCAGGTTAACTACTTCAATCCTTGAAATTTCTTGAACATCTTGTCAAAACCAACATAGTAATAACAGATTCATTCATTAACATCATGGGTCAGGACTTCTCTCTCAAATAAAAAATTGACTTTGGTTTATTTGCAGGTCTTCTCTATGTTGCCTGGGTTTAGCGCTGAACTAATGCCAAAAGGACATGAGAAGGAAAGCCAGGCTAAGATTAAGCGCTACATGACGATGATGGATTCCATGACTGATGCAGGTAATTTGTGGTGACAAGAACCTTCCTATATATTTATTTATTTATTTATTTTAGTAGTGTGCTACAATTGTAATCTTCATGCCTGAGTTTTTGTCTCAGAGCTTGACAGCACAAATCCTAAGCTGATGACCGAATCACGGATCACTCGGATTGCACGGGGTTCTGGCCGGCCTGTCAGGGATGTCATGGACATGCTGGAAGAGTACAAGCGGCTTGCTAAAATCTGGGGCAAGATGAAGGGTCTCAAGATCCCAAAGAAAGGGGAGATGAGTGCACTGTCCCGCAACATGAATGTTCAGCACATGAGCAAGGTCCTTCCCCCGCAGATGCTTAAACAGATTGGTGGCATGGGTGGTCTGCAGTCTCTGATGAAACAGATGGGATCGAAGGAGATGAGCGGAATGTTTGGAGGCATGGGTGGCGAGCGGTAATTTTACATGATCAAGTCCTGTTTTTGGTGGATCATCGCTGTGATGCTAAATTGAGAGGGTTTAATGCTGCGGTCTGATCATGCATCATCAGATCTTTCCCTGAAGACCAGCCTGCGCCATGTTATGGAACAGGCTTAGTGTAGCTCCCCATGCCTGAAAATTTAGTTTATATAAACAGTATGTTTGTCCTTGGAAAAATGGATAAGGTATATATTTGACAAAGCGAATATGCTTATATAGATTGTTACTCCACACATTAGTCTTCCAGTCTTGTTATGCCCGTTGGGTTGGTAAGGATGCGCCATGAAACTAAGTGCAAGGGTGTGCCTATTTGAATTGTGCACTTTGTGTTGGGCGGAAGTTAGAAACTGATCGGCAGCGCTTAATCGGTTGTATTTTGGTTGAAGGATAGAGAGGTGTAGTTTTTGTACTTATTTTACCCAAAAACAGCTTACAAATTTTTTCAGTAACACATCTCATGGTAGTTTTTTTCATAGCTCAAAGCAGCTTTTTTTACAACTCGCAGCTAAACCAAGCAGAAACATGCAGCAGCAGCTGCAGCCACCGTAGAAAAACCAAACAGACCCAAAGATACGCAGCTGCAGTCACGGTGTTGTCGAGTTTTCACCTCCTTCAGCCGCAGACACCGGTTCTTCATCCGCACGACGCTCGCAGCTGATGCTGCCGCCGCCGCCGCGGGAGGCAGGAGGCGAGGCAGCGCCAGCTGCCAAGACCTAGGCGGACGCGCGCGCGAGGTGCCGCCGTTGCCGCTCTTGTCGCCGCCGCCGAGCCAGGAGGAGGAGTACGAGGAGGACGAAGAGGCGACGGGGCTACCGTCCGACGTGCTGCGGGGCCACTTCGCGGTGTACGTGCGCGAGCGGCGGCGCCGGTTCGTGGTGCCCATCGCGCTGCTAGACCGCCCCAAGTTCCGGTCCCGGCTGCGGCGAGCCGAGGAGTTCGGGTTGGCGGGCGCAGGCGTCGGCGGCATCCTCGTCCTCCCCTGCGCGGAGGTCGCCTTCTGCTCCCTCACCAGGATCCCTCCGCTCTGCAATTTCTCCGCGGCCGCAGGACCCACCGCTCGCGGCGTAGATCGAGGTCTCCCTCTCTCTCAACATCTTCTTCCTCCTGCCCGCGACCATCTTCTTCTTGGACGCCGGGGCCGGCGGAGATGGAGGGCCACTCGAGCTTGCTCGCATCTGAGGCGCCATGGGCTTGTTCGTCGTCTGCCGTTGCCGCCGAACTTGCCTCCGCCGTTGCCGACTCAAGCTCATCGCGGTGGTGCTGCTCCTACTCGTGTTCCTTGTCGGCGTCTAGCAAGTGCTCGATAGAATGCCGAAAAGAGAAACAGGAGGGTAACTTCACCTATTCCAAATGCAAGGTCATCATATCCATCTCTACACCAAATCAAACACAATCCCAACCTGACCGGGCTCACTAGAAACATGGCAATCAAATAAGAGGTGTTGCACCATGGGAGCCAGGCTTTGGCTGGCCACAGCTAGGCCAGCTGGCCGAGCCACCCTTGCGCCTAGGCCCTTTATTGCCAAAGGAACGAACGTGTGAGCGTGACGGAGGACGACAACGAATCACCGCCTGCAGTTTCTCCGCGGGAATGGAACTGGGTATGGAGTCTCCGCCAAGAATGGAATGGAAGAACTAGAAAACGTTTAGGGGGTGATTGGTTGCCCCCACGGGGCGATCCTAAGGCCCATCCGACACGAGTTGGTGCAGCGAGGGCGTGATTGGTATCCTGGCTCGCACCATATGCCTGCTCCCCTCCATACTTTTCCCCTCCGCCATCCCGCACGCCTTCATCTTCCCAATTTATGCTTTCCTCGCGAGCTGGGATGGCGTGGTGCTTGGCAGGAAGGGTTTCGAGGAGCGCGGGAGATGACGCCGTCCTGGCGATAAAAGGCGCGCACGGGTGTGCGGCTAGGGTTACCGCCCCCATTTCCTCGCCTCTCCTTCGTCCTTAGCTCTGGTGCGCCCTCTCCTCTTCGTCCCCATCGACCTCGGTTCACCGACCGAGTCAACCTCCTCCACCAGCTCTGTGCTGGTCCTCCGGTGGTCCGATGGTATATCTCACCTGCGCCACCCTCCCCTGCTCTCTTGTGCGGCGATTTTGTTGATTCTTTGCAGGTTTTGTTTGCCATGCACCCAAGAACTTTAGGGTTCTTGATGTTATGTACTCAGATCTGTGCGATGGTACTATTGATCTACATGTGTATACTTGTTATCCTCTTCTTACGGCGTTGGATCTGTGCAATGCACTCCTTTTTTAACTGTACATATGTGGTCTTGCTTTAGATCTTGCACATGATGTTAGAACAACCATTTTGATTCGAATTGAGCGTTGGAGGATCACCTTTTGGTGTGGCAGCCACGCCTTGCTTAAGATTGTCGGTATGCAATTTTTGCTTGCTAATCAGTACACCCACAGTGCATCATCTCTTTCTAATTTCCACTATTTCCTGTTGGTAGCCATGGATTTGCAAGCTAGGTGCCATGCTGCCACTGCCATCGTAGTGGCAGTCGCTGTGTGGTTTTTCATGTGGTTTAGAAGAAGAGCTGAAGAAGCCCGGTCAGTAACTTATGGACCCATGGCAGATAGGGACCAACAAAGGATTAGCAACCTCAAATACATTTATGAATCTGATGATATGCATTGTGTAAACCTGCTTAGAATGAAGAGGGCCCCCTTTTTCCAATTATGTGGCCTATTTCGAACTAGAGGCTTGGTTACTGACAGCATCCATGCATCTGTTGAGGAACAAGTAGCAATGTGTCGGGTATCGATATTAGGGATACCCAAAGTAAGGAAGTTAGCGCCCACGCTGACTTCCCCGGATTGCTCGAGACGTATTAAAAGGTCTCGCCCGACCTCGAGGCCGCGGGCTCCGTCTCGCCTAACCCCAAGGACGCGGGTTTCGTCTCGCCCAAGGTCGCGGGCTACGTCTCGCTCGACCTTAAGGCCACACGCTTCGTCTCGCCTGACCCCAAGGATGCGGGTTCTGTCTCGCCCAAGGCCACGGGCTCCGTCTCGCCCGACCTTAAGGATGCGGGTTCCGTCTCGCCCAACCCCGAGGTCGCGGGCTCCGTCTCGCCCGACCTCGAGGACGCGGGTTTCGTCTCGTTCGATGGAGACCCATACCGCCGCCAACCACTCTAGGTCCAAGCGTATGGGCCTTGGTCAAAACTCTGCCGTCAGGGAAGAGGCTGGCACGCCTCAATGTCACCCGTGGCTATGACGAGCCATACCGGGATTCACATCAAGAACAGTGTCGGGTGTGCCGGTGCTGTTATGCCTAATCCTCGTACGGACGCTGACAGGCGCGTCAGTTCACCACGACATCCGTCGGGACGGAGTGGAATGCCATGATCGGCAAATGATGCCTGCGCATGGCGCCAGTGACGAACAGGGCTGCGACGTGGAGTCATCCCTATAGACATCTACTGGATCGACGGGACCCGCATGAAGGAGAAGAAGAACTCGATAACCCTGGAAGCCTTCTCTCTCTCATTCTTTTCCTTTTCCTCCTCTGTAATCCACGCTTTCCCTTCGCCTATAAAAGGGAAAGCAGGGCGCCCCATGAAAGGAAGGATCTTGACACAAGAGCACGACACGAGCACACGGCTGAGCGGCAAGCGAGCTCTCAGCACCTGTTCACTCCTTCCACCAGAGACTTGGGATCTCTCTCTCTCGTCTGTTTGTAACCCCTACTGCAAACCAAGTGTCGGTAACATGAGCAGCAGTGAACTGGATGTAGGGACATTCCGCTTCGAACAGTATAAACCCTTGTGTCCTCCAAGCACACCATCCGAGCTAGACGCGCAAATACAAATTTACTCGTCGGTGGTCCAAAAACACCGATAGGTGGCGCGCCAGGTAGAGGCTTTTTGCGTGTCTTGACGATCACATCAGGCCTCAGACGGCTAGTCACGGTGTTAGCTGGGCCTCGTGCATGCACGTGCGCTCCGAGAACCTGGATTTCATCGTTACGACAGAAGGAGAGTTGGCGTAGGTTCCCATCGCCATCCAACCTCTCCACTCTGTCGGCCTCGACGCGATCGCCGAGGCGCTTGAGGAGCTGCAGCTGCACGCACCAGAGGCCCACGCCCTCAGGAGCGACCAGCTCCTTAGCTTCGATTACGGGAGGCTAGAGCGCCAGCTTGGCGCCTTTCTGGGACCCCGACCGTCCTGGGAGGACCTGCGCCGCCTCACCTTCTCGTTCACCAATGTCATGATGTAGCTTGCCAGAGGAGAGCTGCTCTCCCAGGAATACCTCATCCGGAGCACCCCGACAACACTCCCGTTCGATCTGCGCAACGCTGCAGAGACCGTTGGCCACCTTGTGGCGCAGCGCACGCCCCCATCCCCTATGAACGACGAGTTCGTGGGGATGACCGAATACGTCGTGGAATCTTTCCACGACCTTCTCATGGGAGAATCGGAGTCGCCCTCTGACTCTAACTCTAGCAGGGGGAGCCATCACCCCTCGCGAGAATGTTTCATGGCAGGTACCCCCGAGGGATACATCAAAAGCATCCACGAGGGAGGGGCTACCCCAACAGACGACCTCGACGACGAGGTCGAGGGGGATGCAGGGGCCCCACCTCGCCTGCGAGTAGAGCAGCTGAGGGCGCGGCACCAAGAGCTCGAAGAAGCACGACTCCAGCTCGAGCAGGAACGCGCGGAGCTCGAGCGAGAGATTGAGCGCCACGGAGATGGTGGGCGTGCGCGTGCCGTGGCCCGCGATGTGAACTGAAGGATCATCGAGGACGATGAAGCCCTCCCACACTTCACCCAGGCAAGTGAAAGGTCCTAATGGCTAGAGGGGGGTGAATAGCCTAATAAAATTTTCTACAACAACACTTAACAAAATGGTTAGATAATTATAAGGCGAAGCTAGTGTTGCGCTAGCCTACTCAAAATGCAAGCCACCTACCACAATTCTAGTTTAGATAGTATCTATTCACACAATAGCTATAACACTACCCTAAAGTTAGTGTGCTCTCAAAGGCTAACTAAAGAGCCACACCAACCAAGCAAGCAAGCTCTCACAACTAGTTACACTAAAGAGCTTGGCAACTAGTTTGCGGTAATGTAAAGAGTATAAGAAATATAGTTATACCACCGTGTCGAGGAGTGAACCAATCAATCACAAGGATGAATACCAATGAAGACCAATCACCTCGAAATCAAATGATGAACACAATGATTTTTACCGAGGTTCACTTGCTTGCCGGCAAGCTACTCCTCGTTGTGGTGATTCACTCACTTGAGGTTCACGAGCTAATTGGCATCACACGCCAAACCCTCAATAGGGTGTCGCACAACCAACACAAGATGAGGATCACACAAGCCACGAGCAATTCACTAGAGTACCTTTTGGCTCTCCGCCGGGGAAAGGTCAAGAACCTCTCACAATCACCACGATCAGAGCCGGAGACAATCACCTCCCTCCGCTCGATGATCCTCGCTGCTCCAAGCCGTCTAGGTGGCGGCAACCACCAAGAGTAACAAGCGAATCTCGCAGCGAAACACGAACACCAAGTGCCTCTAGATGCAAACACTCAAGCAATGCACTTGGATTCTCTCCCAATCTCACAAAGATGATGAATCAATGATGGAGATGAGTGGGAGGACTTTCGCTAAGCTCACAAGGTTGCTATGTCAATGCAAATGACCAAGAGGGTGAGCTTGAATCGGTCATGGGGCTTAAATAGAAGCCCCCACGAAATAGAGCCGTTGTACCCCTTCATTGGGTAAAACGCGGGGTGACCGGACGCTCCAGTTGGATCGACCGGACGCTGGCCCTCAGCGTCCGGTCACGTGATTCACGCCACGTGTCCCCTGCTTCAAAAACCGTTCGTCAGATTTCAACGATCATCTGTTGACCGAACGCTGCGCACAAACTGACCGGACGCTGAGCCTCCAGCGTCCGGTCGTTTCCAGTAAGGTTCCATAAACGGTTTTTCACGACCGGACGCGTTCGGTCATGCTCGACCGGACACAGCCAACGTCCTGTCACTTGTTGACTTCATTCTGTGCTGTTGGTCAACACGACCGGATGCTGGACCTCAGCGTTCGGTCAGTCCAAGACCCAGCGTCCGGTCAGAGACTGACACTGGCGTCTTCACTGCCACACTTGACCGGACTCACCGGTCCCTCTAAGACTAGCGTCCGGTCACCTTGTGACCAGCGTGACTAACTCCTCTTCACCTCTAACTTCTTCACCCTTGCTCAAATGTGCCAACCACCAAGTGTATCACCTTGTGCACATGTGTTAGCATATTTTCACAAACATTTTCAAGGGTGTTAGCACTCCACTAGATCCTAAATGCATATGCAATGAGCTAGAGCATCTAGTGGCACTTTGATAACCGCATTTCAATACGAGTTTCACCCCTCTTAATAGTACGGCTATCAATTCTAAATGTGATCACACTCTCTAAGTGTCTCGATCACTAAAACAAAATAGCCCCTACAAAATATACCTTTTCCTTGAGCTTTTTGTTTTTTTCTTTCTTCTTTCCAAGTCGAAGCACTTGATCATCACCATGTCATCATCATCATCATGCTATGATCTTCATTTTCTTCACCACTTGGAGTGTGCCACCTATCTCATGATCACTTGATAAACTAGGTTAGCACTTAGGGTTTCATCAATTCACCAAAACCAAACTAGAGCTTTCAGCAAACCAGAACATCACTACCGTGGCGGCCTTGCTCCGGGGGCTTCCGAAGCCCGCGACACCCGAGGATCGTTGGGCCCATCATGATATTCGCACGCAACTCAAGCATGCGGCGGTGTAGCAGGCCGAGAGCTCGCTGTCCCGACAACGTGAGCTTGACGCCAGCCAGCGCGCGCTCTCAGAGTGACCCGATAGGGACATGTCAGTCCACCAGGCACAGCATGGCGACAGACCGCATGTTGCGGCCCTTGGTGCATGAGCGTCTTGGCCTCCACTATGACACGCGCAACACCCTAGATGCCCACAGGCGTGCCCACGGTGATGAGAGGGAGGAGGCTAGCCGTGGCTAGCACCCTTGTTGTGGCGGACGCTACGACAACGGCGAGGACCAAGCCCGAGCCCCGACTTGCCAGGACCTCAGGCCTTTGGCCGACACATCCTCAACGCCGTCTTCCTATCACGGTATCGACCGCTGACCAACATCCCAAAATACTCCGGGGAAATAAACCCCGGACTGTGGCTCGAGGATTATCGGCTGTCTTGCCAAGTCGGTGGAGTGGATAGTGATAATTTTATTATTTGCAACCTTCTATTGTTCCTGGCTGATTCGGCACGAACGTGGTTGGAACACCTTCCGTCCAACCGAATCAAAAGTTGGGCAGACCTAAAAGAGATCTTCGTGGGAAACTTCCAGGGCACATACACGCGTCCTAGGAACACATGGGATCTCAAAAACTACCGACAAAAGTCTAGGGAAACTCTTTGTGGGTACATTCGACGCTTCTCCCGGCTGTGCAACGAGCTGCCTGATGTCGCCGACACTGACGTCATAGGAGCTTTCCTGTCCGGGACCACCTGTGAGTCCCTGGTTCACAAGCTAGGATGTAAGGGCC